CTTTGTGGGGTCTAAAATATATATTTCGAGGTGTTACAAACGGATTGATAAACTTAATATACCCTCCACACTATCGTGGAGGGTTTAATCAAAAACAAAATAAAGTAACATTTTGTTTTTAGTTTTAACCGCCAGTTTTAATTGATCAACATTGTTATTAACGATTTAAAAAATTAATGTTTTCGCAGAAATAATATTTTATTTTTTTAGAAATATTTTATAAATCGTAAACAAAATAATAATAAAAAACTAGACAACCAACCCATCATGCCGCCATTGGGACTCGAACCGAGGGTCTTGTCTCTCCCTCATTATTCTGTTTTACTAATTTCGCCGAAGATCTCAACGCACTCGGCCAAATTTGACTAACTCGAATTTTGTCAAATGTTCATGATAAGCATAGGGTTATTTTTAGAAATAAAATCGAAAACAGCTTGTCGTAAAATATAGCGACCGGTTTCGTGTGTGTTGCGTAACAGATAGATACCAACACCATCACCATCGTGAATGGAATTTTGTATGTGTGTTAATTGGTGTTGTTGACGGGATTTGAACTTGAGTTGCTGAGAATACAAGACAAGTAGTGTAAGCTTAAGTACCTCTCCTGCTAGCCAACTGGGCCATACAGTATCAGTGGACTACCGTGGCAAGTGTCGTATATTAATATTATTATTTTGTATAGTAATTGGTTTTCGTTGTAAGGTATAATTTTAAAGGGCTGTGGTATGGTTGAGAAAAAAGTGCCATATTGCGGTATATTTTTATTTTACAGGAATAGTATTTATATTTTAAATGTTAACAAACGCAATGTCCCGCAATGTCTAATTACGAGAAAGAGCAATCATGGATTTTTTTATTGTTTACGGACATTGGGAAATCCCATAGCCAGCATAGATATACCCATTTACAATGTGGTGTAATGTACGGATCGACGACATGTTTTGATAAAAGAAAAACAAACAACGCCGTAATACATTCTGTTGGGGTTAATACCTGACCATTTTTGTGCCGGACTAGGAAATACTATTATTACAAAGAGGACCATTTTCATTTTTCATTTCTATATGATTGTAATACGATTGTCGTATACCCTCTATGTCCTAGCACTTTGTTGTAGGAAGTGATATCAAAAGAAGTACCAAAAACATAATTAGACGACATCAAAAGTTATTCACTTCAATGTTAGGAGGGAGAATCCCTCTATTTGGCAACCAACGACTATTTTCGGCAAGTTAGCGACCAAGAAAAAAAATGTTGCTAAGCTCTAGCGATAGCAACAGTTCTTTAATTTAGACACTTCATTCAAATTTTGCGATTTAACGGTATCGATATTTGTCGTAACCCAAAAAAAAATAAGTTACAGAATCTCACTACAGTTGTGGTTGCCTTGGCACCTGAGGTGGCGAAGAGGCTATTCAAACGGCTAATTATTTACAAAAAAAGGTGTGAAGTCAAAGAATGGTACGACCAATACAGTACGCCAGCGAAACCTAAAAAGGACGTCCATAATGAGGAAATCTCCGACCGCAAGGATGAGATCCTACCAGGCGATTCCAGCCTAACTGACCGCATCGACGACTTGATGAATAACATCAAGCTCACATACGATGACCTGATTGAGTCAGATGGAAGATGAGGATAATTCTTTACGAATCATGTTTTGTAACTTCGCAAAATCGTGGACGAGGATCCGAATTTGCCCATCTGCTACATCGAGACCAATTTTAGGTTCAAAGTACCTCTTACCTAAGGGTGAACTTTTGGTGGAAAGGATTCTTCTTCGGGAAAATAAGGCTACGATGATCACAAATTCGGGACCTAGAGCTAAGGTAAAGCTACTAAAGCTGTACTAAGGGGTCTGGATTGTCAAAAACTCGAGAGGCTATATGTAGTTTAGCACTAAACAACAAAACTAAGGACAAGCAATCGGTAGCTGATCTGAGTAGTTACTATTCCCGCGCTGCAAAGCTTGCAAACCGGAGAAGCTAGTTGAAAGATAATCGTACTCGAAAACTTCCTCTCATGCACAAGCGCCATCTGTCAAGAGGACCCTTTCCATAAATGCAAGATGGGGCGGGAGCCTTTACTCCATCTGTTATCTCCGCAGCAGCATGATAGGGAAAAGACGAAAAACCATGGATACTTCAGAAAGGTCTACTTCGAAATATACGTGTACATAGAGAAAGAATCCCTATGAGAGGGTGGCATCGAAGAGCCCCAAAGACGACCTCCGACTAGCATTCATTGACAGGTCTGACCCAGAAGTTAAAATCAGTGAAACACATTTCTTTCTTTTCCAAGGAAATCTGAGGAGGGTCATTGTTTCTATAACTGGAAAGTCTGCACATCACTGCCGGCTTTGCGGGGTACCTGGTCATTGCAATATTGAAAGAAATTAAAACGCCCTCATTTGTCAGTTTTCCACAGCTTAAGAGCTACTCTTAATTAGGAAGAAAGCAAAAGCGGGCTAGTACAACAAACCACGGCCAGATGTTTCCTTCCCAGAGAACACAACAACATCCGATTAACATCCGATGAAGAACGTCCAAATGGGATAGTTCTAACATCAAGTAGTGCAAACCATGCAAGGACAAGGAAGAGAATGAAACAATTGATCATCTCTTATGGCACTGTACCGCTTTAATCAATTACGAATTATTGGGGAATTTTCGACTCCTGATCTCAGTATGCATTCAGACACAGATCCTGTTGTTATCTATAACATCACAAAAAGGCTATATTGACTCTGACATGATCCTTCTCGACGTCATTCTCCTTCCTTTAATTTTTCTGCCAACATTAAATTCTTTTTTTTCGTTCTTTTCTCCTCTCCTTCCACTTGGTGACCACTTGGACAGCTAATAGGATGGATCTTAATTTATTTTTTTCATTTCCAATGGAGAAATGATGACGATGAGACTGGAGGAAAGCCCTAATGGGTGAAATTTTCATACCTAGAAATATATGGATAAAATGTGGACCATATATGGGTTCCTAAAATTAATATTGGCCGTATCAATATAAATGTCAGGTTTTCTTTTTATACCCTCCACCATGAAAAGGAGGGTATATTAACTTGGTAATTCCGTTTGTAGCATCCCTAAATATTCGTCGTAGACCCCATAAAGTATATATATATTCATAATCAACATAAAATGCTAAGTCGATTTAACTATGTCCGCCTGTCTGTCTACTGAAATCACGATACAGGCCATATTATTTGACGTAGAGTGTCAAAATTTAGCAGAACAGTTTGTATTGTGCCTAGGATGATTGGCATTGAAAATAGGATATATCGGTCCACGTTTTGGTATATTCCCCATAAAATGTTACCCCCCGATATGGGTTTTTTGTTGATTTTCTGCCACACTTTTCCACGGATTTGTCTAAAAATTAGTACTTGTAGGTTATAATAGGTTCTAGCTCGTGTGGCGAAACATTGTATGTATAGGTCCAAGTTTTTATATAGCCGCCATAGAACGGTACCCGCTCGATATTTCGATGAGTTTTGCCACATTTTTTTTCACGGATTTATCTAAAAATTGGTATTTGTAGGTCATAATGTGTTCTAGCTGCGGCAGCGAAACATTTTATGTAGAACCGCCATAGAACCGTACCTCCCGATATTCGGTATTTTGATGAATTTTGCCGTATTTTCTACGGATTTGTCTAAAAATTGGTATTTGTATTCGTAATGGTTTCTAGATCCGGTGGCAGTTCATATTATATATGGGTTAATGTTTTGTTATAGCCCCCATAGCATATTGCATCAGCCCCTCCCAATATTCGGTATTTTGATGATTTTTGGCCACATTTTTTCGCGGGTTTGTCTAAAAATTTGCATTTGTATTTGATATTCGGTATTTTGATAATACTATTCACATTTACCCACGAATTTGTTTCAAATTTGATATTTTAAAAGATGTGGTACATTACAAACCTTAAAGTATAAAATTTTCTATAGAGGTTTCCGTTTTGGTATGGCCCGCCTATAATGGCCTAACCTTTTTGTTTTGTTTTTTTTTTAATTTAACAGCATTATCCAAATGGTCTTACTGATATTTGTAGTTTAAAGTACAACACGTTTGAATTCAGATACTTTTATAAGAACATGTTTTCTTTACCCAATGGTGGAGGACATTAAAAGTTTGACCCGGCCGAACTCAATGTTTTTGCTTGTTTTCATAGAATCATGTTTTGAAAACTCTACCAGGACCAAAAGTTTGGGCTTTAATTTGGATTGTTATTTGATTAAAAAATTTGAATTCCTATCATGTATATTCCTAAAATTTCTGCATGCATATTTTTATATTTTTGCATGAATATAAATATCAGACAGGTATCGGAAACCATACCTTCTATATAAGTCGCCATGGTGTAAAGTAGATATAAAAAAAATTTGAATGTTTTTAAGCGTTAAAATCGATAATTTCTCCTTCCTTCGGCAGGGAATTGAGGGTTTCGTAACTGAAAGATATATCTAAATCTATTATTTTCCAAAGGGACCTTGATTTTTTCCCCACTATTCGAAAAGGGTAAAAATGCCTGGGAAAATTGCAAAAAACCAATTACTTTCAGCTAATTCAAACTTTATGTATTAACAACTGATCTCTTATATTATGATACATAGATACAAATCGTGGACTATTTTTGGATATCAGTAATTTTTTTCAACTACCATTTGTTTATTAATGGTAGCTAAAAAACATTACTGATATCCAAAAATAGTCCACGATTTGTATCTAGGTATCATAAAAGGTCGGCACAAAAACAAAAATAACAATACAAGTCCCGGATTTGAACTCATGTACAAGAATGTTGTAGACAACAACACTAACCCTTCGGCCACAGGCTGTTCAAATTTGAGTGTATACAATGTTTAATATACCAAACCAAAATTAAAACATGATTTGGAAAGAGCGATCCGCAGTAATTAAAAACAAATTGCAACAACGTGCTAAAATAAATAAAAACAAAAACAAACGATAATCTAAACTTACAAGGCGATTTTAAAGCAGCAGCAGTTTTAACCGGCATATGGACTGTTGGATGTGCCGCCTTTGATGGTGCAGAAGCTGTTGATGTTGCAGACACTCCACTTGTTGTGGGAAGTTTTTTCACACTATTCACATGATTGGAAGGCACATTTGATGCAGAGCTGGGGCTGGAGTTGATTGTTGGTAGGGGTTTCGTAGGTAGTGATTGCTGTGTTGTTGCTGTTGGTTTGGTATTCAATTTCGTCGCCTGTTTTTGTTTACTTAAGGCTTCTGCTATTTTACGATCCAATCCAGATTGTTGTAATTTTCTTACATCTATGGGTCGTATGGTGCGTATAAGGCGTCTACCATCACCCATCGGGTTGGTAGCTTTTGTAATGGGCTTAGAAGTTTCATTGATGGCTGTTTCTCCTGCAACATCCCCAGTACTTTTTGGAGGTATGGAGGAATTTCCATTAACCTCATTAGAGGTTGACGGTTTGGTTGGTAATGGCGTTGGTGGAGCGGATTCTGCTGTTGCACTGGGCACATTGCCTTCACTTGGAGGATGCGAAGAACTCATTTTAAGATTTGTATTTTTTCACTTTGATCAACTTATAACAATTTCACATTATATTATTATTTATTTACATCATCCTCATTAGCAGCTGAACACATAGCACATAGCTTTGAGGAATTATTTCACATTTTTTCAATTTCTTTCATTAGTGCGACGACAGAACGAAACGACGTCATTGAGACGGACGCATGCTTTTCTTCTTAATCACCAAGAATTTGTTAAATACAGGGGTTTGCTGTATATTTTTCTTTATTCACATAACTTTATAGATTGGGCATTCGGTAATTGCGGCCAATTCTTATACAATTTGCGAATTTAATTGCGAAAATTTGATTTTTTCCTTATAGTTTCAGAAAGCACACCTCATTTTTCTTTCGCATTCCGAACTAATTTAAAAGCGTTCCAGGAAGAACAAGAGAGAGATTAATGGCTAAGAGTTCGAAGCCAGCCGACCACAAATGGGTTTGGTTGGCCAGCAAAGTGATGTACACACTATATAACAGTATGGTATTTAAAATACATAGCAATCAACTGAATATAATTTTTGTCTTTTGGTGTTCTTGTAAAAAAACATGTATACAGTTTTTGTATGTGTATGAATTTGAATAATCAACAAAATAATTTTGAAAAATTTCAAATTCTGTTGAAATTTAATTGATAAATTTGAAGATACAAGACTCCATCTTCAGGGTTGTGTTTTTCAAATTTAATCATTCTGCCATGATTCTGCCCTACGTTGTAGTTATTGTCCCTTGGTCCAAGACGTCTTTTACACAAAAGAGTATGTACACCGTATTTTTCTCTTGTGCGCTTTTTTGTGTGATTTATATTAAGGGTTGTATGCAGAGTAAAGGTGTGGCTACATAAGCAGCTTGAAGTCTTTTGTATATCATAAAGAAATGCCAGAGCCGCACTAGATTCCTGCCGTTGTTTCCCCTTATAATTTAACTAAAACTCACTTAAAATTTTTATGATTCTTACTTAATTGTTTCCATATGATGTTTTTTGTACACCAAGTTTGACTCTTTTGCAGTCTCTTTTGGTTATGTAAGTATACGTAAACAAACATCAGCATCGGCTTAACGTCATTTCTACCCCGTAGACACTCAAGATCTAATGGACCCTGGATCTAATAGACTCTGTGAGTTAATCTTCAGTAGTACGAATACGCTATTATCTAATGGACTAATAGATCTAGTGTTTTAAAAAGATATAAATGCCGCTCAGCTGATGTTTGTTTACGTTTGCAAACACAATCCGAAGAGACTGCAAAAAATAGCCAAAAATGTTGTATAAATTAACCTTTTGTAGAAAAATAAGTGTTTATTTACATTGGCGTACGTCTGCTAGGAAAATAATGCATCTTGCAATATACCGGCCATGAAAACATATATTTTTGTATGGTAAATTTGGTTGAGTAAATCCGGTTTAAGCAGAAAATAAAATAACATTTAGTACGAACTAAATCTGGTATCTTGACGCGCTATAAGTTCGCACTTTTTTACCCCTGCGCAAATAACAGAGAAAAATGAACTACGTGTCCCTAGCAACATCACTCCGTAGAATTCAGAGTTTATAAAGCCTTATTCACCGTTTTCGATCTTTAGATCCCTAGAACTAATCGTTGTTTTCACGCATTTTCCTTTACTTGGTGAGTGGAATCTCTAGAAAAATATGTTATTTTCCCCCAAAAAACTCATTTTTTTTACTTTCCAACAGATAGCATCCCTGCTGCTACACAAATTAAACAATTATGGATTTCCAAAATCGTGCCGGTGGCAAAACCGGCAGCGGTGGTGTGGCGTCATGGTCCGAAACCAATCGTGATCGCAAGGAGCGTTTACGCCAATTGGCTTTGGAGACAATCGATCTGAACAAGGATCCCTATTTTATGAAAAATCATTTGGGCTCATATGAATGTAAACTTTGCCTAACGCTGCACAACAATGAAGGCTCCTATTTGGCCCATACACAGGGCAAGAAACATCAAGAGAACTTGGCCCGTCGCGCCGCCAAAGAGGCCAAGGAAGCCCCGTCAATGATGGCTCCCGAAAAACCTCGCGTTGAACCTAAGAAATTTGTGAAAATTGGTCGTCCCGGTTATCGTGTGACCAAACAAAGGGATCCCAACAATGGGCAACAGTCTTTGCTCTTCCAAATTGATTATCCCGAAATAACGGAGGGCATTATACCCCGCCATCGTTTTATGTCAGCCTATGAACAAAAAATCGAACCTCCAGATCGTAAATGGCAATATTTGTTATTTGCCGCCGAGCCCTACGAAACAATTGGCTTTAAGGTGCCGTCACGAGAAGTTGAGAAGACGGAGGGTAAATTCTGGACTCACTGGAATCGAGATACAAAGCAATTCTTTTTACAATTTTCATTTAAACTGGAACCGAAAATTATACCACCTCCACCACCGAATTTACATCGGGCATTGGGTGCACCGGCGGGCTTTCCTATGCCTGGGCCACCAAGACATATATTTAATGGTGTACCACCACCACCTCCAATTGGCGTTCTACCTGTGCCGCCGCCGCCCATGTGAGAAGAGGATAATTCTGCTTCTGCAAATAGTTGAGAGTGAAGGAAGCAGAAATAGATGGCAATTAAGTGGGAATAATTTTTGTAATAAGCAGTCATAGATTTTATTAAAAAAAAGGTTTTGCAAAGCCTGATAATAAGCGCTCAGACATTTTATTAAATAAATGATTTTCAAAGCCTGATAACAGCATTTAAAGTTAAAAAAACGTATGGTTTAATTTCACGAAAATTAAATTTGAGACGAAATGCTATTCTAAAAGCAAGTTTGTGAAAAACGTTCCTTCTAGAAAAAGTAACGATATGAAATCGGACGGTCCTTCTTAAATTATTTGTAAAACATCAAAGCTTGGAGATATTATGGTCATTCTTAAAAACTATTAAGAATCTGACAATCTTTCAAAAAATATTTCTAAAATATCCAGGCCTGGAATTATAAATGTCCAACTGATGATCCTTTTAAAAATGCAGAGTGGGATTAAAAAATACTGCAACAAAGTCAAGCGCCATAATTTTTACAATTTTTTTTTTTAATTTCATTGAATGAATGCAAAAAAACACGGAAATAGCATCAAATTTTAGAATAACTTTGTTCGAATTGGTCACCATTGGCACGAATTATGACCTTCAAACGGCCTATGAAACCTTCAAACGCGGCCCGAATGTTACTCTGTTGTATATTGGCCCATTCCCGGCAAAGCGTTTGCTTGAGGTAATCGACACTTTGGCAATTTTTTAGTGCCAACCTTGCTTTCCAAAATACTCCAGACACAATAGTCCAACGGATTGGTTCCGGAGATTTTGGTGGCCATTATGCTCTGGAAATGAAGCGAGGAACCTCATTTTGTAATCATTCTTGGGTGGCGCGTGCTGAGTACGATGGTGATGAGTCGTGTTCGAATGTCCGAGGTATGCGGCAAACATCTTTGAGTGCCGAGCGGATCATTTTGTTTGTTTACAAAATGCAGGACAACGAATGTTTTCTCATCGGAGAAAACTAAATTCGGCAGTTCACCACTTTCGGCCAAGCGAAGCAACTCTTTAGCTCTTTTGAGTCTATTTTCTTCCTGTTGCGGTGTAAGTTCTTGCACTTTTTGAAATTTCAATTTTCGATTAAGTCGCTTCTTTACTTTTCGAACCATTTTTGCTAATGTTTCTGTTTTCTTTCGTCCACTTCCTTGACGTCGGGCTAAGCTACCAGTATCACGGTAACGAGCGATGGTACGAGACACCAAAAGATTTATTCACGTTTAAATGCTGGAGTGCTCTAACGTTAGCCACTTGAGGTTATCCAGCCATGTATAATGAAATCACACTACCACACTTGAATTCCATCACGAATAATTTTTTTTCTGGAAAATAATGAGCCACTTAACAGCTATCAGACAAGTGGCTTAGAAATGACAGCAGCCTGAATTTGGTTGCAGTTTTTTCATCTCACCCTGTAATTATGAAAATATGCGCCTGGAAATCTGACGGTCGTTCCAGGAATATCCTTAAAAATAAATGCTTTGTGTTTTTTTTTCAAAAAATCCAGTTTTTTTAAAGGACGTTGGCCTTTGAATAATTTATCAAAATAAAACATGTTTTACGGCCATTTACTCTTTGAAGAAGGTATTCTTAAATACCTAGTTTGATGAACTGTTGATCCAAATACAAAAACAAAAATCTTAAAATCCAAGTTTAAAGAATTTGTCGGTCATGGAAAGAGTTATTTAAGTCTTGGTCTTTGTAGAGATATCTTGAACAAATCCAAGTTTGAATGGACCCTGAAAAGAAACAATCTTTAAAATGTTTGTTAAAAGAAAAAAATTCCAAATTCATGGGAAATTAAAAATTCAAAACACCGGTCTTTTTGATAGATTATTCTTGATTTATTTTTTTCACCTTTTTCAACGTAATGTGGTGTTGGTTTTAGTTGTTTTGTTTTCTTTTTTTAGCTTTAATGTGTGTTTAACATTTTCTTTTAGCAAAATTGTGTTGTTTTGTTTTTGTCTTTCCTTTATAAATTAGAAAAATAATTTGTTGTTTTTGTTTTTTTAATCTTAATAAATAAAACTTACTAGAAATTTAGTATTAATTATAAATATGTGTGTATGTATATATGTTTGCTTGTGTTTGTGTGTGTGTAGTTGTTTCATCTTATTCGTATATTTCTAAAATTTAAATATTTACAACATTTTGGTAATTTTTCCAATAACTCTTCTTACATTCTTAATGATAATAGGCTACTATTACACTCGTAATTATTACAATAATTGTAAATATATATTTTTCTGAAAAACAGTGAAGTGAGGTTATGATACTCTAGGAAAGGACAAAACAAATTATTGATAAAAGCTGGGTAAGAAAAGCATGGAAGTCAAATAATACATCTTGAAGAAGTGTTGCATTAATTAGACAGAATATTTCATAACATTGTAACCCAAAAACGAAAGTTATCATAACAAGGTAGATAAATTAAAAGAGGATATCTAATTGTTTATGTATGAGACAAAAACAGAATAACAATCTATGATTGCATATGGGGAGTTTGTTTTTTCCTTTTTACACAAATCAGAACAAGTATGTTTAGTTGGTTTGTTGTACAGGCTCTTAACGATATGGGTGGTTGCTTTCCTACTTAGTTGAAGTTTCACACCGCCATCTTTCCATTCTATTCACCACAATTTATACTTTCTCACGTTTTTTATAGTTGCGTTTGGAGGCACATCGCGTAATAATATCCGATACATGGGATTTATGTTCGAATATTTTCATTATTTGATTTTGAGCTTCACTAACACCATCCACAATAATTTTACTACGTTGCATGTTGCCCTAAAGGGGGGTGGTGGAAAAAGAATTCAGAGAATAAATATTAAAAACAGTTATTATATACTAACTTCGTTTGTTATATAGCTCACCTTTAATAAATCGCTTATACGTTCAATTTCATTTGTAATACCGTTCGATTCCATTTGCTTCAGCATACTTGACAGTTTTTCATAACCCAAAGACTCATTTTCACACTGAAAACAAATATAAAATAGAGAAGATAAAAAATAAACAATAAAAGATATAAACCAGTAAGGAAAAGTCAGAAGTCGGGCGGGGTCGACTATATGATACCCTACACCACACTATGCATATTTAGTAGAGCTCTCGTAACAATAGAATTTGATTTGAAGTAGATCATACCACCTATCAACATTTGGCTTTAGAGCAATGGGAGGCATATCCAATTCTGAATCGATTTTCACTAAATTTGACAGAGACATTTTCATCTTTTATACCAAATAACATTGCTATAGAGTCCATATCAACCACTTCGAGAAGTACTGCAGGATGAACAAAGTCAAACTCCACAATAAAAGCAAAAAATGTCGGAAATAGCATCAAATCTTAGAATAAGTTTAGATTTGTTCGAATCGATCACCTTTGACACGAATTGTGGCCTTCAAACGGCCAATGAAACCGTCACACGCTGCCCGAATATTGATCTGCGGTATTTCGCTAAGTTTAGATTTGTTCGAATTGGTCAACTTTGGCACGAATTATGGTCTTCAAACGGCCAATGAAACCGTCACACACTGCCCGAATTTTTGCTCTGCGGTATTTGGGTAAGTTTAGATTTGTTCACCTTTGGCACGAAATATGGCCTTCAAACGGCCAATGAAACCGTCACACGCTGCCCGAATGTTGCTCTGCGGTATTTGGGTAAGTTTAGATTTGTTCACCTTTGGCACGTAATATGGCCTTCAAACGGCCAATAAAAACGTCACACCCTGCCCGAATGTTGCTCTGTGGTATTTTGGCCCATTCTCGGCGAAGCGCTTGCTTGAGGTGATCGACACTTTGGTATTTTTTAGTGCCAACCCTGCTATTAATAATGCTCCAGACACAATAGTCCAACGGATTAGTATCCGCAGATTTTGGTGGCCATTGTGCGCTGGGAAATAAAGCGAGGAACCTCATTTTGTAACCATTCTTGGGTGGCGCGTGCTGAGTCCCGTTGGAATGTCCAAGGTGTGCGGCCAACATTTTTACGTGCCCAAGGTTTTAATACACCCTCCAGAATATTTTCGCGATAATATTCGTCATTTATTCTAATGCCACGGTCGATTAATACGAGCGCAGAGTGACGATCGGCTGTTATGGCGGCCCATACCCTCCTCACCATGGTCGACGCTTGAGTTCTGTTGGTCCACCGAAGGTGCACATTTTCAGTTGACCTCTTTGGCAAGTAAACACGATCATTTTGTTTGTTTACAAATGCTGGACAACGAATGTTTTCTAATCGGATAAAAACCAAATTCGGCAGTTCACCACTTTCGGTCAAGCGAAGCAACTCTTTAGCTCTTCTGAGTCTACTTTCATTCTGTTGCGGTGTAAGTTCTTGCACTTTTTGGAATTTCAATGGTTTTACCTCGAGCTCATTTTTTAATATTTGCCGAATGGAATATTTCGATATGTTCAGATCACGAGCCATTTTTCGGCCACTGCGACGAGGGTTTCGATCAAGTCGCTTTTTACTTTTCGAACCAATTCTGCTAATGTTGCTGTTTTCTTCTTCGGTCCACGTCCTTGACGTCGGGCTACGCTACCAGTGTCATGGTAACGAGCGATGGTACGAGAAACAAAAGATTTATTCACATTAGAATTCTGGAGTGCTTTAACGATAGCCACATGTGGTTTTCCAGCCAATTATAAAGAAATCAAATCCGGCACAAATAACTTTTTTTCTGGAAAATTCTCACCAAAATGCTTTTGTACGCTTGTAAACAATATAATGAGCTGTCACTGGAATAATTTTAACAGCTGTCGGACGAGTGGCTTAGAAATGACAGCAGTCTGAAGTTGGTTGCAGTTTTTTCATCTCACCCTGTAGATCGTACCACCCATTAACATTTGGCTTTCGACCAATTATAATTTGGTTTCAGAGGGCATATCCAATTCTGAATAGATTTTCACTAAATTTGAAGGAGACATTTTTATCTTTTCTACCAAATAACATTGTTATAGAGTGCATGATATAACTTCGAGAAATATAATATTGAAACGAGTTTCTGCCAACGTACGTCCCGAAATGTACTCCATTTGGACTGATATTCGCTATTATTTACGCAATAAACCTAAAATCTTATTAAGGATTTAATTGGGAGCTATATCCAACTCTTAGCCGATCTCGATAAATGTTGGCAAAGGTATTTCTGAACTCTATAAGATATCAGTTACGAAAATGACATTCTTGTGGAGTACGAATTACGAATATGAGGGACCAAATTAGATGAAACATATATATGGTAGCTATAGCTACATATGGACCGATTTTCAAGAAATTTGATGTACTTGTTTCTAGATTGAATTTGGTCGGATGTACCAAAATTCAGATCATTTGTACTGGTATTGGCCATTTGGTGAACAATTAGCCCGAAATCGGTTGAAGATATATATGAGAACTATATCCAAATCTGAACCGATCTTGATACAAATTGGCAAAGGTATTTCCGAGCTCTATAAGATATCTGTTACTAAATATCATTCTTGTGGGGTGCATATTACGAACGTGAGGGACTTAAACACCAAATCGGATGAAACATATATATGGGAGCTATATCCAAATCTGATCCAATTTTCTCCATATTTGATGTATCGGCTTCTATATTGAATTCGGTTGGATGTACCAAAATTCAGGTCATTTGGACTAATTTTGGCCATTTGGTGCACAAATAATCCGAAATCGCTTGAAGATATATATTGGAGCTATATCTAAATTTGAAGCGATCTCGATAAAATTTGGCAGAGGTTTTTCTGGGCTGTATCTGATATCTGGTACCAAATATCATTCTTGTAAAGTGTATATCACGAATGTGAGGGACTTAAACACCAAATCGAATAAAACATATATGTGGGAGCTTTAGCTATATATGGACCGATTTTCACCAAATTTGAAGTACTTGCTTCTGGACTAAATCCAAGAGCATAAGAACTTAAATCAAAACAATGTATTTCAAAGACCTCTTACCAAATCTTCCATTTGTGATTTCAAATGATAAATTTTCCAACCATTTATTTTGCCCAAGACATTATTTTGATTGGCCAAATCCATGATGGTGGGACGTCTCTCTTCGCGCGGCTTAACATCAGAGTAACGTTGAAAATGATTATAAGCTGATTTCCATGTTTGTTTATAGGTCTAAAAAACAAAAACAGGAAAAAATATTAAAATATTTAAAAAGTCGTGAAAAAAGTTCGATAACACTTACACTCATAAGAGTACAATTCTTTGGACGTTTCAATATAAATTCCACTGGTTTTGTGTTCTCCTTGCCATTAACAACTAAAAGAAAATTAATGGAATTTTGAAGTTAATCTATAAAAACTCTAAAAATGCTCAAATGCTTACCCTCATTACCCGAGGGCGTTGATGTAACACCCGCCGTAGTATTTGACGCTGTGCCGTTACTAATAACTGTTGTCATTGTGGGTTCCTGGGCAATGGCGGGCGGTTGTGATAGACTTGTTGAAGATGTATTATTAGTATTGGCAGCCTGAGGTGGTGGTAAACTCAGCGATGCCTGACTGTGGGTGGATAATTGACTATCGTTTCTGTAAAACCACACAAATGAAAATCATTACAAAAAAACACTGCAAAATAAATGACAACAACTTACGTTGATCTCCTGGATTTTTTGCGTGGTGGACAATCCATTGTACCGCCCACACCATTAAGTCTTTGCTGTATGGTTATTGCCGTCGTTGCTGTGGAACTTGGCCCATGTATACCGCCGGACGCAGCGCCGCCATGATGATGCTCCACCATCGAGCTAAGATTTCTTGTGGTAACCGGTGTACCCGGTATAATATGCTGCTGTGAAACCACAGAATGATGATTGGAGTAAAGCTTTAATAAAATTTTGAAACACACAAGAGAACAAATATTGGAAAAAGGGCAACCACAAAAATTCGGGAGGAGAAAACAAAATGAACGTAATCATCTTCGAAATGGCTTACCTCATTGATGGGATTAAAATGTGATTCGATAGTGTGATTGGATCCACCAGTCATACGATTTATAATCATGTTGTTATCTTGTATTTGTTGTTCAACGCCTGGGGAAGAATTAGCTGAAACGGTTGTGGAACCATCTGATGAGGCTGGAGAATCGGCCCGAGATGATCTGGCCGATGGTAGGGAGGAAGAATTCATGGGTGTCGACAGGTTGTTGTTACTTCTATCCTTCTTGGCCAATGCCTCAGCTGTAAGAACTGTAGCTCCTCCACCACTACTGGATGTAACCGAAGTTAAACTATACGAACTACCACCTCCAATGGAAGATGAGGCTGGCGACGATGAGTTGTTGATCAAATTATTGGCAGAACCCATTGATATTAGAGTGGGTTGCAGATTTTTCGCTGCCCGAATGGGAGAACCATCTGCATCACGTTTTCGCAAAAAGTTGGAGACCACTGCAGTGCCCGTTGAGCCAGAGGTGACTTTTATTGATGTCTGCAGGGGAATAACCATTTGATGGGTTTGCTGTGATTGTGAGGAACTACCACCGGCCGTTGAAACATGCGGCTGACATTGAGATGCAGGTATAATTATCTGCGAAGTTTCCAATCCTGCTGCCGATTGCTGTAGCAGTTGTGAGGCTGCCTGGGATACAGATATACCTGTATCGCCTGTCATCTGTCCAGTGCTTGATAACTGACTGAAACGAACAGGCACGGTTTGAATTTGTGTTCCAGCATTTGAAACTGGTATTTGCAATTGGCCAATTGTTCGTCCTCCTGTTGAGGGAACCACCGTGAATGTGGCAGTTGTTGAGTTACTACCAGCACCTGCATGTGTTACAAATGGCAAGGACGAAATTGACAAATTGGCCGCGGAACTTGCGATTTGATTTTGGGACATTGTACTGCTGGTTACTGTGGTAGTGGTAAGCGATAAGACTCCCGTCGAAACCTGTACCGAGCTAGCTGGAACCGATTCGTAATATATTGTACTGCCTGGTTGTAAAAATGTCCCGGCAACAACATTAGCACCTGCTGATGTTAGGACGCTGGCAGGTGCCTGACTAGAACTAGCACCTCCTGCGGATGATAATGAAGTGTTGACAACCACACCGCCACTGTTACTACTTGTGCTGCTGTTACTGTGAGGCCTTTGAGGGGTGGGAGCATGTATGAAAACATTTGCCGTGGAGGAGGTGGCGGACACATTGTTACTCGAGGAATTCGCTGAATTTTCTAGGGGCGAAGATAACTGGGTCATTACCTTACCCACAGTTATGGCACTGGCATTTTTAATGGGTGTCATGGTCCCAGTTATTATGTTGCCACCACTCGAACCACGAGCATTTATTGCAAGAGGAACAACGGTTGCACCACCGGCGGCTGTTACCGTTGAACCGGAACTGGATGTTACCAAATTCTGGGTGGCTAACAATTGACCGCCACTAGTGCCACCACCAGCCTGTGAGACATTCACCAATTGAGTTGTGGCATTTGTGGACAAATTTGTGACCGTTATACTGGCCGATGAAATCGAGGGTGAAGCATTGCCGCTACTGGTATTGATATTTTGTTGACCACCACCGCCGCCGGAGACAGATGTTGCTGACGACGAGGAAGAGGGAAGTTTTCCAATGCCCAGTTGAGTTATTGTCAATGGTGGTTGAACTTTAGCTGCCATTGTTACGGGAGGACGTATACCTTTATAGAACGAGAAAAATATAAGATAAACAGTGGTAAGAAGAACACAGCGCCAGAATCACTCACCTATCTTCCCAGCTCCTGCGGTATTGACAATTATCGGCTGCAACATAACATTGGCTGCCAAACGACCTGTTGGTCCAATTATCTGTTGCGTGGTTCCTCCTGGCTGTTGCTGCAGTTGGATTATACGCGTTGTCGTCGATGGTATTACATTGGCGCTCGAGGCTGTTACACCCGTCACTGTCGTACTGCGGGGTGAATTTGCTGCAGCCACATTTGCTGAACTGACAACATTCGATGCAGCCATGGAGGGAGCCAATTGGGGTAAATTAGGTGCACGTATACTAATACTTGTTGTATTTAATTTTGTTGCCGAAAATGATTTGGCAAATGGTATGGGACGTATTTGACGAGTGGCTCCGGAGCTGCCGCTTCCAGGTGTGAGAGGTGTTGCCACCGCAAATCTTGGTCCGCCACCAGCCACTGAGGTGGGATTGAATTGTTGTTGTTGACCCGCTGTCAACTGTTGAGATCCAGAGACATTTGAGGAATAGACCAAGGTGGCCTGATGTTGTCGCGGTGGTAAGACTGTGGCCACATATGTCTGCTGTTGTTGCTGTTGTTGTGAGGAGGCCGAGGAAACGGTTTGTATGGTAGCTACATGTAAAGAAAAGAAATGGAGAACTTATCTTTATTATGAAATTATTCAACTTACATTGCTGTCCTTGTTGCTGGGATGTTGGCGTATGATGCTGCTGGGAAACCACCATGGCTCCGCCACCTGATTGCAAGGCCGATGCTGTGGTAGTCACCACTGTACCACTTACAGATGCCACTGAGCCCGTCGCCGATACCGGCACTCCACTTATACCCTGTGTGGTTATAATACGTTGCCTTGGCTGATGCGGTATGGCTCGTATTAATTGCACTTGATGCCCAGACTGATTTGCTGCCATCCATGTGGTACTTGTGGCCGGTGATATAACTGTGGTGGCCGGCGACGATGTGTTCCGACTCACTGCTGTGCCGCGTACAAAATTACCGGCTGCTGTTATACCCGTCACTGTGGCCCCGCCACTTGTTCCACCTTGCACGGAGGCAGGTGTGGTCCGTATGGGTGTCACCAAACGTTGGCCGGCCGATACACCCATGCCCACCCCGGTCATTTGATTGCCCGCTGCATTGGGACGTGGCAAATATGTGGCTTGTGTTGCTGATCTAGTTACCGTTATGGAAGTATTCGATACAGATCTGGCTGAAGCAGTGGGAAATGCGGTGATTTGGGTGCGACCAGGTCCGGCATTTTCCAATTGTTTGATCATCGAAGGTGACATGAGATTACTCATTACAACTCTGACCTGTGTCGACTGACCGCCAGCACCAATGGCGCGTATAGATGTGGCCCCTCCTGCTCCCGGCGATTGGGATGAGTTCAGTGCAATCGGTGTGCCACTTAGAGAGGTTGCAACGGCACCACTGTTGCCTACCTTAATAGCTCCTACCGCAGATAGTCCCGCACTTGTTACAATGCCACCGCTATTGCCAGCGCCGCCGCCGCCGCCACCACCAACACTGCCTATTGCTGTTGGTGTTAAACCACTCAATGAAATACCACCACCACCACCAGAACCTCCGACAACGGCATCAATTGTTGTTGTCTTGACATGCGTTATTTTGGCTGCAACTGGATTTAAAGAAAATAAATTTGTTACATTTGTTGGATTTTTCAATTGTATGGATGGTGTATGATGGACAACGGATTGTTGTGGTGCTGTTGGAGGAGTACTATTACTAATATTGGTATTGGGGGGAGTTGTGATAGTAGTAGAGGAGGAAGATTGTAATTGTAACGGTGTTGGAGTCGATGTTGTAGGTGAGGGCAATGGTGAATGGTGTTGTTGTTGTTGTTGTGATTGTTGTAAAGATACTGGATGTGGATGGGGTATTAATTGGGTTTTTATAATTTTCAAGGGTTCTGTGAAAAATAAAAAATTTAAAACAATAAATAATACAAAAAAAACAAAAAGAAATGGGAGGATAATAAACAAACAAATAAAATCATGAAAACACAGAAAAGAATAGACCGCCAAAAAGTTATGAGAGCATACACACACACCACACATAGTAAGGGAGAACAAAAACACTGATCAGCTGTTTTCTAATTGTCAAGAGTTCCAACTCACTGCAAAATTTTCTCTTTGTTTGTTGTGTCTGTTTTTGCAAATAAAGACTTGACAGAAACCAGGGATGGCAAATATTAAATACTGGGCTTAAAACGACGACTGGGTAAATATTACAAGTTGCTTATGGTGAAGCCACACGACGTTCGTGTAAAGGTCATTTAAACAAACATTTTCGATTGTGGGAGAAAAGGAAAACATAAAGACCAACTTCGGCATGTCTTTATGAAAGCAAATGAAAAATCGACATATACAAACTGGATCTAAGAAAAACAAATTTAAGGGAAAATTAAGTTTTTCGCTTCGACAATTGGCAATAAAATTGAAAAAAAGAATATTTATCAAAACAATTCACCTTCCGGGTAGACTAAAAATTATTTGCGGGAACTATGGAGTTAGGTAAATGTCACTTGTACTTCGCCTATCTTTTCTAAAGCTTGAGTTTTGTTTATACCAGCACATTCTTCGTGCTTAACGATAAATGTGGCCGGACTTTATTCCCTTCACTGTTAGTGAATCAATCCTAAATATGAAAACGTATTGTTGTTAAAACCCTTTAAACTCTGAGTTTCGGATGACATCGTTATATCTAAACTACCCATATCGTATGGGTATGGGTCTGTTTCCAATACTGTGTTACGATGTTAATCATAAATTGAAAAGCCAAATTATAAGTAAATGGAGAGTATGGCAAAACGTGTACCGATGTGTTCTATTTTAAATCCAGTAAAACTTGTAGACTAAATATAATTAGTCATCTATTACTATTATCGGTCATCCACTTATTAAATCTGGTGACTCTATCGGGGAACGTCCTGACACCTCCCTATATGGGCTTCAATGTCATGGATGGACTGTGAGACGGCATGAAATACAGGTTTCATATTTTCCACAACGCACTAGTAATCTAACGGGCCACACAGGAGCATTTGCTACCCCGAGTTTGGGCCTATGGCGTTTACCCTTGCAATGCCATTACTGGGAATTGGCTTGTAAGCCTATTGCGGCCTCTAGTTATCAACGAGATTCCGTTGGAATTCCCCTTTTTTCGGTGGGCTGGGACTTGGTGCCAATTGTGGCCTCCAGCTATCAGTAAGGTTCCCTTTGAATACCCTTCTCCCATGTTATCCATCAATAAACACCGAAAAACAAATTGATATTCAATGTATTCCGATAGATGAAGAGTTGTTTTGCACTTGAATTTTTGTAATTAGCAACGAAAAATAGCTTTTCTGAGCCACACAAATCTTAAAAACAAATGCGTAAAAAAAAGGAACCCACCCCCCTATGTCAGGCCACACACTTCCTCCTTGAGATATTATTGCCAAAGTTCGCACAACGTATACATAGAAAATTTCCAGCTGATGGCAAAAAAAAATATTGTGAAATATATTTAAAGGAACCACTTTGGACAAATGTTGTTCATAAAATATCGTAAGTAATTTGTTTTTAAAAGAAAAATATCTTCAGCAATGTGTTATTTAATTTCAGCTGGTTGTTAATAAGATTATTAAACAATTCCAGGTGGTTTCATTTACCTTCTGAACAAATTTACACATATATTTTTCGTCTGGTTATGTCTGGACAATGGGCAAATTTTCACAAAGATTTAAAGTATTTTCTAATCGCACAATATTTAGCAATATTTCACAAGACTATTCATGATTTGTTCCGAGTTTATTGCGTGAAAAAAAAGTAAATTTTTGACAGTTTTAATATTTTTTCCACTTTTCATATATTTCACAAACTTGTGCCCGTCTGTCTGTCAGCCTGATGAGTACTTAAAAAAGCAACACTGCCACGAAAGCAATAACACAAAAGAGAGAACAAAACTTTTTTTCTGTCATTTACCAATGTGTTCGTGTGGTGGTGGTGATATATGATGAACAAAAAATCAAGACAAAACGAAGAAAAATACAAACACACACACAAAAACATTACGATTATGTATGGATCGTGAGGGGAATTGGGGGGGACAAATGGAGGGGGAGAAATAGAGAAAATATTGTCCCCCAAATGCAACAAGGAAAATGCATTTCAATTATCAATTGGAATATCTACTGTACTTAACAAACACATTTTAAGCATTCTTGAACTTACCTCCACCGCCTCCACCTGGCCCAGCTCCACTGCCTCCTCCAGGGCCATTACTGCCATCGCCTGAATTCATTTTATTTAAAAATGCCGTATATTTATTGATAAAAATTCTAAAAACAGATTTTAACAAAAAGACATCCTTTAATACAAAAAAAACAAATCAAATCACTATAGTATATTTATTTGTTGTTTTTGTTAATCGCGTAAATGAAAAAGGTACAGCTTGCTTGTCGGTCGGTTTTTGGATTATATATATTTGGTTTTTTTCTCTTCTTTTTTGGCACACATACTCTTACACGCTGCACACAATTTGACACATTTTTTTCGTTTTCGTTTTTCATCTCACTCACCTTATTCTTGTTTATATGGCAATTTTATAATAAATTTATTGTAATTCTGACTGATATTGTGTACTTTCAATGTGCAGACTATTTTCTTTAGTTTCTTTTAGTTCTGCATATAGCAAATAACTTTTCTTTTCGATTGGAAGTCACAAAGCGCCACACGAAACGTCCCGTTCTTATGAAGATTTACATAGAAACGAATTAGGGATCTGTAGAACGAATTTTGACCAATGTCAAAATCGATTTTCTAGTTGATATAATCGATGTTGCGAATATCATCATAGAGGTTAAGCAATAAATTACTGTTATCGGTTCCAAAGGCTGCGTTCCACTTAATTTGAAGAAATAAATGAGTTAAAACCACATTTTTTTACATAATTCTAATTGTAAAATAAATCTAAATATAAAATGAATTGTCAGTCACCTTTTAAAAATTTGCAACGATAATAGATGTTTTAAAAACCCGATTATTCTAGTAAAAAGTTTAAGATTCTTGCAGTTTTGGAAGAGAACAAAGGTAGGCTTAGTTGGAACAATTTTCAAGTAAAGAGCCTACCTGTATGGATTGTAATGTTAGAATTACTATCAAAACAAATTTATTCTGTTCCAGAACAGAAAGAACGTACATTTTTTACTACGATAACCGAGTTTTATAATATAAAAAATATGTTAAAAACTAGTAAATTCTTGCAGTTCGGGAACAGAGCATTTGTTCATTATCAAATAACCAAACCAAGTTGTTGCCATGGTAAAATTAAGAAGGTAAAGTCATGCAATCATATGTTTACAATTTTTTTGTTTCAAAATTGTCCATTTGACAACATTTCATTGTCAAACTGATTTTGACAGATATACTTTTAAATTCAAAATAAGAAAGTAAATTTTAAAATTTAATATATTCTCTGTGCAAGGAAAGTGATTATAGCGGGATTTTTTCATTGTTCCCATGGTACAATTAAAAGGTAAGGTAGAGCTAACAGCTGATTACAAGTGTGCCCGAATTCTGCCAATTTTGTGTATGTATTATTGTTTTGAAAAATGAAAAAAAAAATATTTTCACAACCAATGATTGGAAGACACATGAATTGCGGCTCGCGCATTAAAGCTATTTACCAGTAGCCATGAAATTGAAAGATTGAACAGTTAGGATCATATTTTTGAGAGAAAGTCCAGACATTTTATTCATTTTTCGCGCTTTTAACTCATTTAAAAAAATGAGGAAAAATATTAAAAAAAATGAAAACAAAAATTTTGAATGAGTCTGACAGGAAGCGGGCATAGGCTCAGGTGGCAGTTCTACCTTCTTATTGTACCATGATTGTTCCCAAACCCAAAGAAGACCGTAAATTATGGTCTCAAGTATGTAGCTCATATATTACATATTATGGTTTATTTCGCTACAAAAAGTGTAAATTTTGTCCATACACACGTTGTAATACAAAATTGATTAATATTGTTCCTGAAATTTTTCTCAATAATTTAATTTTTATAATAATTGAAAAGAACACACACGTATGCACAAATTAATTTGGCATGTTAAGCCAGGTAAATTAAAAGAGTCAATTGGTATTAGTTCTTTTCCTTGATTTCATTGTACCATGGATTCTTGCATGTTCTGGAACAGAACGTCGGATTGAATATGTTGTATGAATACCAATGGGAACATGCTGTTAGTGTTTTCATCATCAAAAGTCGATTTACGTATCCCTGTTTTGTTTGTTGAAATTACGTCGAATTTCTGGCTCTTACGGGGAAATTAAACCAATTTGACAATACTGTGTGTTAAAAGTGAAACAGATTATTTAATTTTTAACGTTTATTAATATTTTATCGTAATACCGTATATAATACTTCAAAGTTAAAGTCTGCCATAAACTTTGGAAGTGTATTTTGCTCTTCAATGTGAGGGGGTGGGGAGGAGGGTTGAGTTGAAATCAGCTGATGGTAAAATTCTCTCTTTCTCATGAACATCTTTCTCCCACCCAACACATTCAGTGGCAAAGTAGCTTAATTTTATTTTTCGAAAATGATAGATTTAAAGCGATTTGGTTGCATTTTGTTTTATTTAGTAATAAAAACATTGTATTTTTTATTTATTTCTATTTTGCTTTACCTCTATTAAATAATATTTCATTTCCCCGCATTTACACTAGGCTGTTGAAAACATAACTGCGCTCTTTCTCTCTACTCTCCACATTTCGTCTCTCATCTATACAAAAAGAGTTAAGCAAACAGAAAAACCCTCACCACATTTAACATTTACTTTTGAAACAACTTTCTTTTTGTGTTGTGTGAAACAAATATCCACGAGTCTTTTCAAATGGGTTCAGTTGTTTCTCAGCTACCAAAAACAGCAGTAAACATGTCGTCACCTCAAGCCGTGTTTGTTCAAAACGCCCTCAAGGAACACAAAGTTGTTATCTTTTCTAAATCATATTGTCCCTACTGCACCATGGCCAAAGATGTAAGTTCAATAGAAACTATGGCATATGGATTTACGATATTTATTGTGTGTGTTTGATTTTTAATTCTTTTTTAGCAATTTAAAAAATTGTCAGTACCCTTCCACGTTATTGAATTGGATCAACGTCAAGACACTGATGAAATTCAGGATGTTTTGGGTCAAATGACTGGAGCAAGAACAGTAAGTATTCTTAAATCTAAATTTTTAATGCATCAAACATTTCTATAAGGAACAATTTCGCAAGTGACCTTGAAAAAGCTGGGAAGTGATTCATTGTTGGAGAGAATTTTGTAACAGCGGGGAGCGCAGTTCGTAATTTATTTTAGTTGTTGCGTTTTATTGTTAAGTACGAAATCAGTTTTTAAATGTAACCATAACAAAAATAATTTCCTAACAAAGGTGCTTACCCGGAAATATTATTTTAGCAAAAGATAACATTCCTTTTTTGAGATAAAGTCAATTAAAATGTGTTTCAAACCGCGACAGATAAAACAGGGTTCTACAATCACTTTCTGGTATATAACGAGCATTATTGGATATACAAGCGGAATTTGCTTATGATTCTGATTGTGCATATCAAGGAGATTTTTATTGTAGCAACAAGCTTTAGTTGTAAACCCCTCAAAAAAACCAAAACTAATTTGTATATCTCTTTTTGTTTCAGGTTCCCCGTTGCTTTATCGATGGCAAATTCATTGGCGGCGGTACAGATGTTAAGAAAATGTACGAAACTGGAGCTTTGCAGAAATATTTTAGCTGAACTTCACGGATTTCTAGTCATTTATAATCTGTAAAGGATTTAGACAAGTTCATAGAAAATGCTAACGTTTATAAAAATATTAAATATATAATTACTTTTTGTATGTGTGTGATGGAGCACATCGCGCTTTCATCTATGAATAAATAAATGTTAAACATCGTTTAATGTTTTCAACGAATGCACTCATTGAAAAATGTCTTCCATTTTATTGTTGTTTAATTATTTGAAATAAAAGAACGTGTTGGCAATTAATATGCGATCACTCTGTTTTTTTTTTTGTGTTGGAAGAAACAATGGACTCTTAATTATTTGGAGAAATTTGGAGGATCTTTCCTTTTTCAGTGATCATTTCTTTCTTAACACATAAATCTGGATATCAGAGGTAATTAGCGATACTTAGCAACTTGCAATGCATTGTTTTTATACCCTTAGCCATATGGCTAGATACGGACAAAACGTGCCCCATTGAAATAACGGTTTCAGACCAAATCCGTTTCAGGCCACTTGGAGTCGATCTAGCAATGTCCGTCTGGCTAGTTGGTGCACACTATAACTCTTGAAGGGAGTATCCGATTTGATCCTAACTTGGTACATCGTAATATCGGTCCACTCCTTCTTCTACCTCCCCCACAAAATGTCAACATTTACAAAGAAAATAATTTACTGCACAAAAAGAGTCAGTGCTACAGCAGGTGCGAAAATGGACAATATCGGTCCACTCCGTCCAGTACATCCCCACAAAGGGTCAAAATTTTGAATAATTTTAACTCTTATAAAATGTGTTGTAAGAGTCCGATTATCTTCAAAATACACACATCACAATGCCTTTATTAACACGAGGTCTGGTGTGAAGATGGCATATATCGGTCCACTCCTTCTGGTACCCCCCCCCCCACAAAGGGTCAACATTTTGTGTATTCATGAAGCTCATAAAACGTGAAATTAACATCCGATTTCATTCAGACTTGGCACATCTCGATATTTCCATGAACACAAGATGTGTTTTAAAGATGGTAGAGATCGGACCATTACTTCTGATACAACCCCCACAGACTTGGCACATCTCGATATTTCCATGAACACAAGATGTGTTTTAAAGATGGTAGAGATCGGACCATTACTTCTGATACAACCCCCACAGAGTTTTCAATGACAAAAACGATCATAAAATCCGATTTAAGCATCCGGTTCTCTTCAAATTGCACACACCCCACTATTTGTTATTTGCCAAAGGTCTGGTGTGAATGTGGGATATATCGGTCCACTCCTTCTGGTACCTCTCCAACAAAGGATCAAAATTTGGAATATCAATGAAGCTCATAAAACGGGAAATTAACATCCGATTCCATTCAGACTTGGCACATCTCAATATTTCCATCAACACAAGAGCTGTTATAAAGATCGGATAATTTTTTCTGGTACCTCCTCCACATAGGTTTCAAGATTTTTGAAAAACAGAACGATCAAAGGAAGCGAAAACATACCAATAATTTTTATCTGTATTAGATGATGTGTGAAATGGAATACTTCGGTACGCTATATCTATTACCTCACCCAAATTTCCAAAAATTTACACATATCTCATATAAAGGAAATAGTGTAAATCTGGCACGTTTTAATATTTATCAGTATTAGATCAGATACGAATTGGTCAGCTTCGGAACTTCTGAACTTCCCCCACACATGGTCAACAGTTTGAGTAATCATAACTCAAGGCTGGGGGTATACATCTGTGGGCAAAACCAACTGATACTATTTTTTTGTTGTTAGCATGACTAGACAGAACAAGTTGGGCCAGGCCGAACTTTTAATACCCCCCCACCATTTGGGACGAATTTGACAATTTTCAAAAAAATCCGTTAAAAATTCTGTTAAAATCTTAAAAATATTAAATGAAGCCGTAATATTAGGGTCTAAACGACGACATGGACCTGCATAGGTAATTTTTGTCATAAGCCATTAAAATATTCAAATACGAAACTTGAAAGAAGATTCGGTGAATAATGTATCTAAAATCATCAATATAGGGAGGTACTATTATATGGGAGCTATACCAAAATGTGGTGCTGCACAGACAATTTTCTGCCTCAGGCTGCCGTATCCATTACGAACTTCAAATACCAAATTTTAAACAATTACGATAAATAATGTCGTTAAAATCATAAAAATGTCGAATATAGGAAGGTACTGTTGTATGGGGCCTATACGAATACGTGGTTCTGCACATACAATTTTCTGTCATAGGCTGTAGTAACCATTACGAATTTAAACACTAAATTTGAAACAATTCCGCTGAATAGTGTCGCTAAAACCATCAAAATACCGAGTATCGGGAGGTACCGTTATATAAACTAAGACGTGGACCTACACACACAATTTTCTGTCTTAGGCTGAAGTATCCATTACGAACTTCAAATACCAAATTTGAAACAATTCCGGTGAATAATGTCGCCAAAATCATCAAAATACCGAAAATATGGAGGTACCGTTATACCCATTTTCAATACCAAAAGTCCTGCAGACATAATATACATTTGAGTAAAATTTTATCAAGCTAGAGTAATTTCCACAGACGGACGAACATCGCTAAATCGACATAGAAGTAGGAGGGTTTAAAAAAAGTTTAACAATTAAACAGTAATTTTTAAAAAATCAAGCCAATCTTACCTTTTTGTTTCCTTTTGGCCCACCCTTTTGGACCTGTGAATTAAAACCCAAGTTATTTTTTTTTTTTTCAATTTTTCCAGGAAAAATGTATTTGTTTTTATTTGCTTCTTTACTTTCTTCTAAAAAAATATTATTGATAACACATCTCAAAAATACCAAGATGTGTATAGAGACGTAATGCATATTATTGTTGTTGCACTAAGAAAAAACAAATTAATAGTTTGGATGGCAAAACAAAATAATAAAGTGTGAGGTTAAAAAAATATTTTTTTGGAGGTTATAAAAAAAGTTTTGGTAAATTTTTATGAGTCTTGTTGGGAAAAAATTTTCGTTTTTCTTTTATATAATTCAACATATAAAAATATGAAAAATAATATTTTTATAGCTAAACAAAATAAATAAAACAATAATTTTCTTGTTATTGTTGATGGTATAGTGTCTGAGCAAAACAATAATAATGGGGAAAAAATTGAAAAAGAAAAAAAATCATGAAAAATTGTTTTTATGATTCAAGTAAGGTGTCAGAGATTTCTTTTCCAAGTTGCCATTTGAAAAGAAATTTTAGTTTTTAACAAAAAAAAATAATGATGGTTGAATATTTTTTTTTTCAAGTTGTTTTTTAGTAAAAAATTAAAGATGTTATGCCTTACACACAAGTGTTCCCGGGATTTCTTGCATTATGAGAGAGAATGGGGAGGAGGTAGGGAGATGATGGTTTTATATCGAAAAATCTAAGCCATATATTTTGGAAAACTAAAACAGCTACATAAGAATTTCGAGAGCTATTTCTCCATTCAAATGTATTTTTTTTTTAGGTTAGAAAATAAAAACAAAATTTTAAATGGCAATATATTTTAAGATATTCCCGCCGATGACTCACCCCTTCCCCTTTTTCATTCAGGGAAAACAAGAAGAAGAACACTTACTATATAAATAGCACAAACAAACAAAATAATGATGAGGAAATTGGTTTCAAGGATAATAGGAGGGTGTTGTTGTTGTTGATGTTGGTTTGGTTGATTGATTTCTTAGTTGTTGTTGTTGATGTTGTTTTCTTTAGTTCTTTTGGTTTCTTCCAGTAAAGATGGTTTGCTGTATTTTTGTTTTTTCATAAATTAGATAAAATTTTGTATTGCTATTTTTTTAGGTTATGTTTTGTTGGCTGTTCTCTTTTGACCACCACTGTTGTTGCTGTTGTTGTTTTGTTGATTTCCAGCCATATTTCAATTCATTGATTGTCTATGCGCTGCTTTCAGTAGTGGTATTTTGAACCTCTTGGCCAACATTCTGCTGATCATTTAGCCAACAAAACGAACGTCGATGCCACCACACAGCCGCCCACCAAAGTCAGAGTTTGATAAAGGAGAATTCAGGTGTTGGATTGGTTGGAAGTGGAATGTTTGATAAATTGGATGATATTGTTTGGTTTTTCGTTGGAGTTACAGTTGCGAAAAAATGGAATTTTGAAAAAAATATAAAAAAGAAAAAATAAAATTTAGTTAAAACCCAAAAACTTAAAATTTTGAAAAAACAAAAAAACAGATATTAATATAAATATACTATGTATATATGTAACATATAGAATGTGTCTGGAGATATACGATTTTTTATACTGAAAATTTTCTCTAAAGGTCCACGTCTTCGTATAGCCCCCATGTAACGGTACCTCCCGACATTCGGTATTTTGGTGATTTAAGCGACATTATTCACCGAAAATGTTTCAAATTTGGTATTTGAAGTTCGTAATGGATACAGCCTAAGACAGAAAATGGTCTGTGAAGATCCATGTCTTCGTATAGCTCCATATAGGGGTACCTCCAGATATTCGGTATTTTAATGATTTTAACGACATTATTCACCGGAATTGTTTCAAAATTTGGTATTTGAAGTTCGTAATGGATACTACAGCCTGCGACAGAAAATTGTCTGTGCATGTCCACGTTTTGGTATAGCCCCCCTAAGAGTACCTCCCTATTTTCGGTATTTTGATGATTTTAGCGACATTATTCACCGGAATTGTTTCAAATTTGATATATAAAATTCGTAATAGATACTATAGCCTATGACAGAAAATTGTCTGTGCAGGTGGTCCACGTCTTCGTATAGCTCCCCCCCCCCCCCCCCCATTTAACGCACCTCCCTATTTTCGGCATTTTGGTGATTTTAGCTACCGGAATTGTTTCAAATTTGGTATTTAAAGTTCATAATGGATACTATAGCCTATGACAAAAAATTGTCTATGCAGATCGAAGTCTTCGTATAGCCCCCATATAATGGTACCTCCCTATATATGGTATTTTGAAGATTCTAGCTCATTATTCACCGATTTTTTTTCAATTTTCGCATTTTAATATTTTAATGGCTTATGACAAAAGAGGCATATGCAGGTCCATTTACTTTTATTATTACTTTTTTTTTTAAATTTGCCAAATTTGTTCCAAATGGAGGAGAGTATTCAAAGTTTGGCCCCACCCGAACTTACAACTTTTTTACTTGTTTGACCTCAAAAACTATTTTAAAAAATCTTTGATAGTCTATCAAGTCGGACTCCATGTCATGCTAGTCATTTAGAAATTAAAAATCAAAAATATGCTCTTGAAAATTGTTTTTGGATCTACTGGTTTAAAGCTCAACTTCCTATTTCTTGAGAAATCTAAATAATGCGTTACAAGTAAATAAGGCCTGTTAGATCCTGAAATGTGTATGCATGGCTTCTCAATGGCAAAATTAAAACTAATGCATTTCCCATTTCGTTCGTATCTGACTAGATTGTAAAATATTAAACTATATTCTTTTCACCCATTAAAGCTACAAAATAAATAGTAAATGAAAAAAATTTTACAATGTACTATAATATATTACCGCCAAAGTATCGCAGAAAAATCAATTACAGTCCAGACACACGTCATTCCAATTCCTAAGAATGACCTCATAAAAATTGTCGAGTTCGGTTTTTAGTGGTCACATAAATTATCTCCATGACACATTTTCAATTACATATATAGTACACGGTGTTTAGACAATAAAAAAATGGGGTTAGTTGGAAATGGGATTAGTAGTAAAAATGTTAAATAAATAATATAATAAATAATAAATTTCATTTGGGATTAATAATTGGGTGTGGTTGGTGGCCAGGAAAGTAGTTTCAATTGTTTCAACTCCTCCTCGTTAAATTAGTAAGGCATGATTTGATAGAGAATAAAAGTGACAACTCCCCAAGTGTTCTTCTGTTTGATTTCATTATGAATGAATGAATTTTATTCTCTTGAAATGATGTATTTGTTGCTGTTCTTGTTGTTTGTTTGTTTCTTTAATTAATAATGCAGTCATTTTACAATAAATTATGATGTTCTTGTTTTTTTATTATTATTAAATGTTTGATGTTGTTATTTTAGTAGTATGTAGTGGTAGCAGTAATACTAGAGAGCGAGACATCATAAATGTTGTCATCATCATCAAATGTTCTTGCTGTTGATGTTGTTGTTAAATATTTGCTGTTTGTATTGCCATACAAAATAAAGCAGACTTTAAATGCTTATGTTGCTCTGTGTTGTAGAATATGATAGAAGGAGGGAGGAGAGGAGTCGGATAATAATACACAATCCACATATTTTGTTTTTTTTTTTTAGTAGATGTTCTGACATACTGATGACTGCTTTTCGTTATTTGTTTAGTAGATGTTTTAGTAGTATTTTATTATCCTTTCTTTCTTTGTTTGTTTAGTTTACCTGTTGTTGTTGTTGGTTGTTTTGTCCTCCGCCGTTATTGGGTTTTCTGTTGTTTGGACGGCGTGGACGACTGTTGCGTCGGGGACCTTGTCCTTGTCCTTGGCCTGGAACAAGAAGATAATAAACGATTATTAAGAAAAAGTCGATGGAAAAATAAGTCGTCGTTTGCGCTTACCTTGTCCCCCTTGGCCACCGTCATTACGTGGCACACCACGTGGTCCACCGCCGCGACCATTGAAATTACGACGGAAGAAACGTCTCTGTGGACCACCACGGCGCATTTGACCGCCTTGACCATCGCCGCCCCTGTGATTAGGATCAGCGTTCTGATCGTGGCCGCCATCGCCGCCCATACCACCATCACCGCCGCTAACTGGACGTCGTTGACTTTGATTGCGTGGATAGTAGGCCCTAAAGCGTCCACCGCGTCCACGGCGAGGGCCGCCACCGCCAGCACCCCGTCTGAAGTTACGCTGTTGCCTGGGATGTTGTTGTTCATCGCCACCATCGTGATTACCACCATCGTGGTCATGTTGTACCTGGCCATCTTGTTGGTTCTGCTGCTGCTGTTGGTTTTGCTGTTGGTCACCACCCTGGCGGCGACGATTTCTTCTCCATGGCATGCTGCGATTGCGACGTTGTTTGTCGGCAGCAAATTGACTGCCACGCACTGGTTCACCAAAGGGTCCAGTTACGTTTGCAGCTTCATTGCCTTTCTCGCCGATGACCACATCGAATTCGACAGCTTCGCCATCGCCAACAGAGCGTACGGCTTTTTTGGGATTATTCTTGATGATAGCACTTTGATGGACAAACACATCTTCTTTAGTGTCGTCACGGTTAATAAAACCATAGCCGCTTTTAACATTGAACCATTTGACGCTGCCGGTAACCTTGGTAGCTGGAGCAGGGGAAAAAAGGAAGAAAAGAGGGGGGTGAGTATTACTGATATGAATGGATTTGAATGGTGAGATGCTTTCAATAAGAATTCATTGACTGTGACCTAAATTCAGATAAGCTGTAGTTTAACCTAAACCAGGATAAATCCATCTTTCAACTAAACAGGTCAGCTTCGGCGATATAAATTGCCCATTTTAAAATAAATTAATGGATATATGGCTTTTATTCGGAAAAGTCATACTTTCCGAGATTTGGGTCATTAAAATTCCGCTAATATCCTTGATAAAATCTGATGGAAACCTTTGCTCCTCAAGCTATAGGAATGAGCGTTTCTCATGGTTATGGTTATAACGTGAATGATCCTTTATTACAGATCAAGGGACTTGCATTACTCGACTCGATATTACTCAAGGACTCATATACCAACTACTTTGTCCGTTTTGACAACAATGTAGTTGTTGCCTCCTGGATCTTTTGATCTTTTTTTGGTCAGAAATCTGAAAATAAATCTTTAGGAAACTACTTGAATTTCGATTGGGTCTATCTGTTGTCTTCCCTCATTTCATTGTCGTTTTTAATGTGGCAACTCCATTGAAAGTAGAAAAAAATACTTGTCTGCAAATAGAAATTGCGCGAACCCAATATCAAACACAAAATGTTGCAACAAACAACAAAAAAATAAAGGAGAAAACGTGGAAATGTGAACGGAACCAAAGGAAATCTAATAACAAAAAAAACGGATAAAAAATATGTGCTAAGCGCACTGCTAACGTTTGTTTGAGTGTGTATTTGTTGAAATATTTTGTGCAAGCACACACTACATTGGAGAGGTAGGTAGCGCGGCGCACATTAATACGATGAGCGCCAAAAAGTGGGTTGAGTTTCCACCAATTCACACAGACAACAATGAAATCAAGAGGAGGTAGGAAGTGAAGGTAGTCAGCAGCATAGCATAGATTGAAAAAAAAAAAACAAAGTGAGGGAAATTTACAATTGTTCTGCATTCGTCTGTGGTTTCTACGTTACTTTTTGGGGTCGCAGAAGCACACACATGAAACCGGTGTATTAGCGCTTTTTGCTCATTCTTGCTGCTGCCAGCTATGCTTTGCTTGCTGATGTTTTTGTGTGTGGCTCATTTTTTCTTGTTGTTCTTGTGGTGTAGAGGAAAATCTAAGAAAAACAATACAGCAGCACACACCGGTGATGACTGACCGACCGACCGTACTTATTTCACTTTTTTTGTTGTTTTACAAAATGGCGGCCAATAAAATGTATTTTTAAGCACAAGAAATGTGTGTCCATGTGAAGAAGAAAAAAAGCTTCACCACATGTGAGGACCACACCACACTATATTTTGTGTGTCAGCGTCAAAGTAATTTTAATTAAATTATATCGCCGAAGAGCATGCATGCCATTCATATGAGCCAGACAGAAGACAATTCGTCGATTATGTTCCACCACTTACCAATAACTTCCTTTACAGGCGGGGGCTGTTTTTGTTGTTGAGCAGCATCACCTTGTGGGGAGTCTTGAGGCTGCTGCTGTTGTTGTTGCTGCTGCTGCTCTTGGAGCTTCGAGTCTTCCATTTTTGCTTCTTTGCTTAACTGTTGTTGTTACACTAACAAAAAAATTCTATTTTCTTCCAGAAAAAAGCTGACAAAATGTGTCTTGCCGGATACCGAGACTATTTTTGTTAGCTTTTCTTTCGGTTGTTTTCTTGCCGTTGATGTTCTTTTTAGATGGTGTTAACACTCTTTTTATATTTGGGGACTCATTCAACTACTCCGTTCTTAAATTTGAGTGATGGATGGTAAAAAAATCACTCCCAAATCCTTTGAGCTGTGCTACGATGTTCTTCTTGTTTCCACTAGATCTTCTTGAATAAAAATTATTTCGACATTTTAACAAAATGGCGTTTGCAAAATGTCATTTTGCTTTGACAGTTCCCTCAGAAGGGGGTTGTAATGAAAGAGTAGTATTTTTTTGCACACTTCATTAAATGGGTGCCACATCCGGCTGGAAAAACAACATATTTGTATGTGGCACCCTGTGTTTGCAAGAATGTTGTCGTTAATTGATTTGTAATAGAAATCATTTTTTTTGTTCAAATAAATTAAAATAGATTTTTAGATAAAATAAAAACAAAAATTATTATTATATTTAATGGTTGTCGGCTGCTATATTTACCGAAAAATAAAACAAAATATGTACAGTACCCTGTTCTATGTGTGCAAACACTTCGAAGTCTGTATCACCCTTTCACTTTAGAGGGAAACATTTTTTGCTCAATGCAAAATTATACAAGGTAATTTCATGATGACAACGTCCAACTTTCAAAATTAAAAATGATTCAAGCACAACTTGTGTTTTGTGGCAAACAAAGTAATAATGTTATGATTTGAAATTCCCCCACTTTTGTGCTTAACATAAAGCATCACAAAATTAATATGGATATTCGAATTTAAAAATTTTCTGAAAAATTGTTGATTATTGAAAACAATACACACAAAAATAAAGTTAACATATTAAGTCAAGAAATAAAAAACATATGGTATCATAGCCCTACCTTGGATGCAACGACTTGTTCTTATTTACGAAGCGCGAAAGGTGAATTAAATGCCTGGTTTTTCTTTTAAAAACATGACCCAAACTGTTTAATATTTCAATTGTAATGCTAAAACTTATTAACAGCTTTAATGCGTGTCCTTCAATGTACGCTTCTACCAATCCATGGTAAAATTAAGACGGTAAAGTCATTTCCAATAATAATATCAATTTCTGCATTTTTTTTTGTTTTCTATTGTCAAATTTCACTGAATAAAAACCAGGTCCCCATCTCTGATGTCTGTACACGCAACGGATTTATAAATATAAATTTTGACAACATATGATTGCATGACTTTATCTCATGGTAGAAGAATATAGGTAGGGCATCAACTCTTAGGAACATTAATATGTCAATTTTTTTTAAGTGCTTTGTCAAAAATAAGTCGATTTTTATATGTTTTCTTATACGATGCAAATCGGAGGTTGTATTGATATGTATTTTTCAACAATTTTTACAAATTTCAATTATTTTTCGTTCACGATTTTCAATATCAAAATCGGTTTGACAGTTCATTGTCCCAGCAGCTGTGTCGATGTAACTACCTGTATTCTTCTATCATGCTTTATCTTCTTAACTCTACCATGTTCCAATCGAACATTTTGAAATTTGTTGGCAGCTGGTAGCTCTAACATACCATTTTATTGTACCACGAAAGATAGTTAATTTAAATGCCGCCGCCGACAAAAATGACAACAGGCTGCCGCCGTTGGCCATGCACTTGACAAGCTGTCGTTGCGGCCGAAAGAAATCGAACCGCTTCGTTGTCTGTTGTCAATTGCAAAATATTTTATTTTTCAGTTTTAACGGGTCAGCACAGAGATTTACAAATATTAACTAATAAAATAATTGTGTACTGCTGCCGAATCAACGTTCGTGTACAGTGTTTAGTGAATTATACATAATAAATAAAACTAAAGTGAATAGAAAAAATAAAAACATGGAATAAATACAAATTAAATGAAAGTGCAAAATTAAAGCAAAACGCAAAACTTTACAAATTTCTTGCAAAAATGGCATAGAAAAACGTTGTTTTTGTTGTTGAATAAAAAAAGGTGTGTTTTGATTGAAAACATTAAGTTTCTGATGAAATTCTTTGACAAGTAATTGCAAATAAATGATGAAAATACGAAGACTTCAATGTATAATTTTGTGACGTCACATCGTATGATCGAAATACGGCGTTTTGATTGGTTGTTGGGCCCGCAATGTAATCCTCCTTCGTTTCGTTTTTCCTCGTTGCGTCTTGGCCGTGTACAAGCCCCGTTCCGTTTGACAGCTGTTTATGTTTTTATTTTGTGTGGGGAGCGCGTGTACTGTTGTTTTCCTATTGACTCGTCGTCGTGTTGTTGTTGTTGGTAGTTGTTTTGTAGCTAAATACCGTTTTAGGCTCAATATGAGGAAAAAGTTCAATCTAATTGGAATTAAAAAAAAAATCTTATTCATGCAATTAATTTTCTAAAAAAGAAATGCCTGCTTTTGTGGTTGTGTGAGTGTGCCGCGCGTATATTGCGTTTCTTTTTTTTTTGCGCAATAGAAAAATATAATTACCTTACCGTTTTTTTTATTTGAATTAAAGTTAAAACCTACCTGTTATTCCGCGTGTCTATGTCGTCGTTGTAATGAAATTGTTATTTGCGACATTATTTATTTATTTATTACAAGTCATTTTGTTTTTTGCAAAGTATTGCTGTTTTATTGTCTTTCTGTTTTCTTCTCCCCTTCCTTTCTTTCTTTGTAAATAGCAAAACTACTGATAAGATATTTCATTGTGGATGAATAATAATAACCCGTAAACCTCTTCGTGGAAGAAGATAAGATAAATCGTGTGTAATAAAAATGGATATGGATCCATCATTAGATATGGACCTGATGTCCAGTGGGATGGTCGAATCCCTGGATATTTTCAAAGATGAGGATGCTTTAACCATATTCAAGGAAATGATGACACCAGGTAAGTTTGGCAATATTTATCTATTAAAGAGCCCAGATTTTTTTAATTTGTATGTAGTAGGAGGCGTTGACATTCAAAATGGCCCGAAAAAAAGTTCTTTGTCGAGGATACAATCATTGCAATTAGGTTCCATATTAGACGATGAAGATTACGACGAATCTTATCGACAAAGTTAAGGAGACTAATCCGAAATACGAAAGGGGTGTGTAACGGTGGAGCTCCTCTTAGCTTTTGCTTCAACGTAGATTCAAAAAGACTAAAGGGACCGGCAACCGTAACAAACGTTTTCAAACATAAATTTGGAAATACATGTTTAGCTTGATTCGCAGTCGAAACCCAACCAACCTTATATGTAAAAGTATAAGCCGAGAACCTGATATGTATATATTCTATACCTATCCCCAACCTCTAGGAGGACATAGTGGACGATAACTTTCTTGTCATGACCTTCTGAGGTTATCAATTTGCCATTTCAGCGAATGGAAATGGTGACAATAATATTGCTAACATGTGTCTTATCTCTTAATGCGATAAGAAATTAAATGTGGGTGTTAGCAGCACTTGATAGACCATGGAAAGCTAACTTCAGAAATGTTATCATTTGATAAGGCAGAAATGTGGCCTTTGACAAATCCGTTTCAGGACATCAGGAGTGAGACAAAAAAATTAAGGTTTCATTACCAAAAATCCGGGATATTTAAAATTAATTCATTGTAAGGATCTCCTGACAAGGTTCTAATTAAATCTTCTAAGGACCTCCCGACCAAAAATCGTTTAAAGGACATCAGGAGTGAGACAAAAAAATTAAGGTTTCATTACCAAAAATCCGGGATATTTAAAATTAATTCATTGTAAGGATCTCCTGACAAGGTTCTAATTAAATCTTCTAAGGACCTCCCGACCAAAAATCGTTTAAAGGACTATCAAAGGAACTACAAAAAATTTTTTGGATCTAAAATAGTTTAACATTTCACAATGTCTTGCGCCAAAAATGGAGGATAAGCCTGTATTTTTTAAGCAAATGATTACGGGTATCTCCTGGCAGAAAATTGGAATTTTTAAGGAATTTAGTTCCAAGATCTTCTGACGAAAAAATCAAGGACTATTTTAAATGATTTTCTGAAAAATAACCACGGTTTTTGGACCCTTTTTTTTAGAGCTGAAGTTGGTAGGGTGCTGTCGAGGAGGACCAACAAGAATCCTTTAGGAAGTTTCATCCATTCCATTTCGTGATTAATAGGCCTCAGAAATGGTCTACACATTTTTAACCTTTTCCTTTTTACATCACCCCTTTTTGCTTTTCAAAATACCATCTAATGTTTGTTTTTTTTTCTCTTTTCCCACCTCCCACCTCCCAGATATGCTGAAAAACTTTCTGGATGACATGGATCAGGTTCAATTACCCAATGAATTGCTTGCAAATATCGATTGCCCCATGGATGGGCAAACACTGAAGTCCGAACTACTTACAATGGATACGGCAGCATCACCACAACAGCAGCACCATCAGCAGCAACTGCAGCAACAACAACATCATCATATTAAACAGGAAAACCTTTCCCCCTTGCATATGTCTCCGCAGCACAGTGATATGGGCGGTTCACCTTCGTATAAACCACTTCTGTCCTCGGATCCCCTGATGGCTTCAAATTTTAGTCCCCTACCACCAATGGCCAGTCCATCGTCAAGTATGCTACCATCACCCCAGGGTTTGCTACAGCCCCAAAAAACCTCTTCCCCACACCCACACAGCAACAACAACAACAATACCCCCTCAATGGCCATGAATAGACATCATCAACAGCAACAGCATTCTCCAAATCTTTTACAACAAATGCAAATGGATGCTGCCACAACAAATATGGCCACCAATGGTAATCTATTGTTACAAAACACCACCAATGCATCCTCGACTTTACAATTAACTGCTGCTGGTCACATGGATATGAATAATCAAGCCTTAAATGGCCTGCCTTCAATCATATATGCAGCAGCAACACCATCGGGTACAACGGCATCGGCGGCATCGGGGACAGTGAATGGCAATAATACCTTTATATTGCAATCAGCTACTCCCACGACAAGCAATGCCATGAGTGTCAATAATATGGCTCACGAAAAGAAAGTACAAATTCCTCTGAACACCACCAACAAGGGAGCTATGCCGCCCTCCTCCACATCATCGACATTATTGGCATCACAGCAGCAATTTTTGAAAAAAATCCAAACAATACCGCAAATTTTAACGGTGCAAAGTATTGGAACCGTGGCCGCAGCAGCAGCAGCACCCAATACAAATGGCGGAAATGTAGGCAACGATAAAGCCCAGCAAGGAATGCAAGCAACCTTAAAGGTAAGAATTTCTCAAAATTGAAGACCTCTAATGGAAAGAAGATGTTTTATAGTCTTTTAAAACTTGAAGACCTTTTTCCAAAGACAACAGCTCTAGTTCGTCCATAAACATAGGTTTCAATAGTGTCGTTTACATTAGGAGAGATCATATACAGCACCGTCTACTCTGAAATAAATAGTCATCACGATCATCTACTCCAAAGAAGCAGATGGCCCAGGATTATAATTTACAGAGTAGAAGGTCCTCAGTTTCGTCTAACCTGCAGTAGATGCTTTTTTTATCAGCAGATGACAGTCCCAATATTTTCTACGGTGGAGTAAATAGCCTCAGGATTAGCAATTTCAGAATAGAAGGCCATCCTTGTTGTCTACTCTTGGATAGTTTAGGTTCACCAGGTATCTCTACCTTGGAGAGGATTACTCAAGTGCCGTCTTCTCGAGAATATATGGTCATCAGGAACATTTACTCTGAAGTGGATGCCCCCAGGATTATAAATTTCAGAATAGTAGGTCCTCCGTTCCATCTACCCTGTAGTATTCACCGGGTTATTGTAAGGTGGAGAGAATAACCCCCCAACATTTAAGGATCTTCAATTTCATAACGGTTTAGAAATCTATCTGTTCTTTATCTACCCGATCTACCCTAGAATAATTGGTCATCACCATCTATCTCAGGAATTTTCAAGTAGAAGATCCTCAGGTTGTCTAGAGTAGATGTTCCCTCGATTATTCCCAAGATCCATCTAATCTGGGTTATATAAGTCCACCTTATAAGATTTATTTTCCATAAAAAGTATTTCTCATTCCCATTTTCTCTTCTTCTTTCTTTTCAGTACACCACCCAGACAACCAATCCCCCGCATCATCATCATCACCATCATCAAGCGAATACAATTCAAACGCAATTAACAGCAACGGCTCAGGCTCCGCAAGTGATCATACAAACCAATCCGGTTATGTATACAACCGCTAATGGTACCGCAATTTTGGCCTCTCACATACCTGTTGTTTTGGAACCAGTATCCTCCGTTACCACACCATCCTCTTCGCCCGGTCTTAATAACACAACACAGCAGCAACAGCCAGCCTCCTCCACAAACAACACTACCACATCGTCACACACACCACCACCACAACCAATTCAACAGGCGCCATCGCCCAATGGCCAACATCAGGATAAATTACCCATAAATCGCAGTCCCCAACAGCAGCAACAACAACCCAAAGTCAAGGAAGTTAAACGTTCCGCCCACAATGCCATCGAACGACGTTATCGCACTTCGATCAATGATAAAATAAATGAACTCAAAAATCTGGTGGTTGGCGAATCGGCCAAGTTAAATAAATCGGCAGTGCTACGGAAATCCGTCGATAAAATTCGTGAGCTGCAAAGGCAAAACTATGAACTTCGCATGGAGGTACAACGTTTGCAGAGTGAGCTGATGTCACGTGACGGCTCCAAGGTACAAGATCTGTTACACCCCTCAGTGGGTGGTGGTAGCGGCAGCGGCGGCAAAAAACGTAAAGCCTCCTCCATTGAGGGTCTAATCATGTATGGCAAGGAAAGTGCCAATATGATGACACCGCCACGCAGTGATGATTCCGATCCATCGCTGTCGCCCTCACATTCGGATTCCTCGATGCCACCGTCACCGTACGATGGCTCGAGCTCCTCAACGGCCAGTGTTAAGGATGGCGATATTGAAATGTTGCCCAAACCAATGCAAGGAATGTCGGCCCATTCACGTTTGGCCCTATGCATGTTTATGTTTGCCATATTGGCAGTGAATCCGTTTAAGAATTTCTTGGGCAACTCTGGCGGGGAATATATGTTCGATGATGATGACTTGGTGGGACAGAGGAAAATATTGGCGGTGGATGAAGCAGGTAAATATTATATACTTAAAAGGGATTGATGAAGGGATAAATAATAAACCACCAAAGAAAAGATGCTGGAGTTGATGACCCTCTAGGTCGACTACACTAGTTTAGGTAGGCCGTCTACTCTAGAGTAGGTGTCCCTAAAGGTCGCCCACTCCAGAGTAAAAATTCTAGAGTAGATGGGGTTTTTTATGGGTGTTTATATTTGGCCCCCCATGGTCTTCCCCGCTTGAGCGAATCCTCAACCTAAAATAACATTTTATTTTCCATTACAGATCTTGGTGCCAAGATTTGGGGTAATTCCACATCTTCATTGATTCTATGGACCATGAATATATTGGTTATGTTAATGTGTATGATCAAACTGCTGGTCTATGGTGATCCTTTGCTGGCATCCGAAACACAAGCTTCCGAGGCCTATTGGAAACACAAGAAACTGGCAGAACAATATTTTAACACGGTATGTTTTTAAAACCACAAATTACCGAAATTTCAATCATAAGGCTAATTTTCAAAATTCCAATTTCATTTTTCAGGGAGATTCGAAGAATGCCTATTCCGAATATTTACGTTGTCTGCAAGTATTTGGCATATCCTTACCATCGACGCGTCTCGAATCGTTCACATTGACCAGCTGGCAGTTTATACGTTTGTTCTTTCATCGCATATGGATTGGACGTGTGTTGTCTCGCAAAGCTGGTGGCCTTTTCTGCAGTGAAGAGCAGCGCAAAGAAGCCTTGGCCTCTGCCAGGGAATTGGCCTTGATTTTCAATCGCTTGAATCAGTTACATTTGACATCGAAAATTAATGATTCGCATGGTCTGGTTATGTCTTTGTATGCCATCAATATGACCGAAGTGGCTGCCCATCTGCTGACACCCAGCGAATTGGCGAGCATTTTCATTACATCCGCCTTGAGAGTCAAACGTAGCTATCCAAGTTATTTGAAATTCTTTGGTCGTTACTTTATTAGTCGGGCCAAAACGGAAAATTCCAAAATTCATGATCAAACCAGAGAGACCCATTGGCTATTCACTTCGTATGGATATCGTTATTTTATTACCCATGACTTCGATTTTGTGGAGAATGAAAAAGAAAACGCCAATGTCTCGCTGTTTGCCACACTTAGCAATCCTTCGGATCCCATGTCGTATGTGGTGAAGCATTATCGTGAACATTTACTGCTGCGGGCCATTCAATGTCTTTTGGGATCTTCTGCGGGTGGCAGTCATAAGGGTCATCATCACAACAAACAAAATAATGCCCAGGGCAAAGGTAATGCAGCAGCGACGGAAGGAAATTCTGCCCCTGCCCCGGGTACCATTGTAAGCAACGTTCTGAAATACACATCCCTACTGCGCGACACATTCTCCCATGAAAATAATGATGTAAAGAGTGAATGGTGGTCCAGTGTCTTGGAAATATCTGTACATTGGCTTTTGGGTGAAGACACCTTGGCTGATAATCTATTGGAAACCGTAAAGGCATTGCCTAAACCACTACTGGAAAGTGGTGACCATTTACCCAAGGCTTTGTATACCATTCTCAAGGGTAAAGCATTGTTGATGGGGTGAGTGGACCTAAGAAGAGGAGTGTAATTGTTACATATATATTTATATATATCTATAGATAGACTATAAAATGATTATGGAATAGGAGACCCTTAAGGGTTGTCTACGCAATGTATGGAGAGGTCCTGTCTACCAAAACGGTGGATGCTATGGGCCAATTATGTCTATATAATCTTCTATCATAGAGTTGATATTTTCTAAGATCTTTAGACATAGAGTTAATGCTTCCTAGGATTGTTCACAATAGTATGAATATGGAAAATCGGATTGTCTACTAAACGGTGGATGCTACGGACCAAACATATCTATACAATCGTCAACCACAGAGTTGATGTTTCTCAAGATCTTTTACCATAGAGTAGATTCTTCCTAGGATTGTCCACAATACAATAAATTTTTCCCAGGATAGTCTACCCTAGAGTACATGGTGCCTAGAATCGTCAATAATAGAGCAGATGATCCCTAGGATCGCCTACCATAGAGTTTTTGGTCCTTAGGATCATCTAATATTATAAGGTTCGTTTAACATAGAATAGATTGTTCCAGGGATCTTCTACTATCGTGGGGATTATAATTTGGATCGTCTAGGTTAGAGTAATTGGTCCCTAGGGCAGTCTACCATAGGTTAGGTCAAAGGACGTGCGGTTGCCTTTTGGTAACCGCTCCTCTTGGAGACCTGCTGATCCATTGTGTTCATCCTAATAATAAATTTGTGGAGAGAAAGAATAGTGGAAAAAAGTAAGGTCTTATTGATTTCAAATATAGTTATGAGGTTGATCTACGGCTAGCGATCTTACCGTGTCGCCTTTAGAAACTTGAATCTTCTGGCTAATTGAAGAATTACTGTAGGGTCAGTGTTAGAGAACGAAGACAAATCATGTGACACTTGATCCCCCCACCAACCTGTGTGCTGGATAGTGGCAGAGCAAATGTTCGATCGTCTCAAGTTCTACCTCGTCTTGACATATTCTACAGTAATCAATATAATCGCTGTTCCATTTCGAGGTCATTGTCCTCACCTTGCAGTGACCTGTAATGATACCCACCACAAGTTTTAAATCTGGGTTTGACAAGGACAGTAGCGACTTTTTTCTCTCTTATCGAGAGTGTGGGCCAGATCCTTTGGAAAAGCTACATCCCCTTTCGTCCAGCAATTTTTGTTGAGTTCTCACAGAATAGTGTCGATTAATTACCTGTAGGAAGTGAAACCAAAGGGTGGTTTGACCGTGGTCTCAACTTCAATGGTTGTTGATTCGGATCCTAGCCTAGCCAATTCATCTGCAGTCTCGTTGCCTGGAATATTGTAATGACCAGGAACCCAACAGAGCTTGATGGACAACCCAGTGTTTTCCAAGGATCTTCTGCAGTCCAAAATAGCCCTAAACTTAATGGTGGACGAGTTTAAAGGTTAAAAGGGCCGCTTGGCTATCGACGTATATAGTCACCGGACCGCTAACCTCGTTGTTCTTCGTTACCAACAGGTCTATAGCTTTTTTGACCGCAAAGATTTCCGCCTGGAATACGCTACAGTCGTTTCGCAAACATTAAGAGTGTCACAGAAGACACCAGCTCCCATTCCGCATACCATCTTTGAACCGTCGGTATAGACAACTATACCGCAGAAAGACGAATCGAACCGCCGGTATAGATAGCTATGTCGCAGAAAGGCGAATCGTTACGGGCCCAGGAGAGGAGAGGTTTAGCGTGACCCCATCTAGCATCGGTGGTATAAAAGAAGGACATTTACGTTTCCTCATAAAGAGGACAAGGTCTGTCTTGGACGGGTTCACGCCTAGTACATTGCGACGTGCCCACCTTGATAGGGTGACTAGAGCTCCCTGCATCAGATCAGAGATAGTTTGCAGGAATTTCCCAGCAATCAACAGGACAACATCATCAGCATAAGCGACTACCTTTGTTCCAATTTTCACCAGATCTATGATAACACCGCCTTGCGGGGTGCCCATGGTGACCGATTTCCTGACGGATATTACCCCAATGCTTGAGTTGGTATTTTTGCTACTAAGCATTGTATCCATCCAATTTGTGAGGAGTTGGGGTATCCTAAGTCTTAAAAGGGTATCATGAAGAGATTCTAGTGTGACGTTGTTGAAGGCTCCCTCAATATCAAGGAAAGCTACCAAGGTGAACAAGGAGTCATTCATGAGCAAGGAGCCATTTAAGATTTTCTCAATGTACCCTACAAAATCATGTTGCGCTGTTTCAACAGATTTACCTTTCTACGTCTACCATTGTGTAGATTGTCCCTAGGATGGGAGTTAATATAACCCCTACAATGAGTTTACGATAATTTGTATAACTGGTATATTCAATAAAACGAATAATACTAACTGTTATAATCCTTATAACACCTTTCTCATGCATATTGTTATATTTGGTTAAATATTTATAACTGTTATACTGTTATATAACAGTTATGCCAACTGTTATATTTTCTGTAAATTTACAATTTCTTGTTTTATAAAATGTTTGAAATTGTTTTTTTTTTAATTTGGTGCAAAAATTATAACTGTTATACAAAATATACGATAATTTGTATAACTGGTATACTCAATAAAACGAGTAATACTAACTGTTATAATCCTTATAACACCTTTACTGTGCATATTGTTATATTTTGTTCAATAATTATAACTGTTACACTGTTATATAACAGTTATGCCAACTGTTATATTTTCTATACAGTATATAACAATTATGCCAACTTTTATATTTTCTAAAAATTTACAATTTTTTGTTTATACATTTTTTGAAATTGTTTTTTTTTTTTTTAATTTGGTGCAATAATTATAGCTGTTATACAAAATATACAAAATATACGATAATTTGTATAACTGGTATACTCAATAAAACGAATAATACTAACTGTTATAATCCGTATAATACCTTTATTATGCATATTGTTATATTTGGTTCAATAATTATAACTGTTATACTGTTATATAACAGTTATGCCAACTGTTATATTTTCTAAAAAATTACAATTTTTCGTTTTATAAATTTTTTGAAATTGTTTTTTTTTTAATTTGGTGCAATAACTATAACTGTTATACAAAATATAACAGTTATGTCAACTGTTATAATTTTTGTAATTTTAATATTTTCTAATTGTTTGAAATTGTTTTTTTCTTAAATTTTAGTAACAATGCCAACACCTTGGATAGCCGTGACATACAAAAAATAATGCAAATTTGCGATGAATCCAGTGCCTATTTGCAGGAATGTCTGACCGTCAATAAAATAACCAATGCCAAGGGCATTAAATTGGTAAGAATTTCCACAACTTTATTTTGTATTTTTAGGCTAGATTTAGAATGAACTTGACGTGTGTTGATATCGGACAAAGGTGCATTGTAGTCGCATTGTCTGTGCTGTTTTCGTTGCTGTTGGTATTCAGCCAGTACTTCTGCAATGCAAACTTTGTTGATATTCCTTGGCATCAGAACGAACGAGTGAAACTTTGAATATTTGAAATTTAGAAAATTTAATAATTGACTAACTCTGATAACCATAAAAAAATTTAGCTTTTCCAATTGCTCACCTGTGATTGGATTTTGGAAACTCGCACCGAACTATGGGAATCGGAATATATGACAATGGACGATGATGGTTATTATCAAGTGCCTGGTGATGTTTTAGAAAAATTCCAAACAGATTTGAATTCATTGCGCAGCATTGTTGAGGATATACCGGTAAGAGAAAGCGAATCGACCAAATAATTAAATGTATTAATGCCAGTGTTCTTTTGTGTCCGTTTCAGAGCGGCCAATCCCGTATCTATTTGTATGAGGCCGTGTGTCGCCTTATGGCCGGAGCCTCACCGGGACCAACCCAACAGCTACTGGATCGTAGCCTGCGCTATAGACATGCCAAATCTTCAATTATTTGCGGTGGCAAGGACAAAAATCACAATTTGGAGGGCGGTGAACGGGAACGGGCCGCTGCGATGTATGTGGCATGCAAGTATTTGCCATCGGCCTTACTTTGTTCGCCGGGTGAACGGGCCGGTATGCTGGCTGAGGCTGCCAAAACATTGGAAAAAGTTGGCGACAAACGTAAACTCAAAGAATGCTATCAGCTGATGAAATCGTTGGGCAGTGGTTCGGCCGTTACTAATTAAAGACTTTGTTTTTGAAATACATTAATTTTCCTTAGGTTATAATTTCAAAGGCGTATATAATATATATGTATTTTTTACTATTCTTAAGTCTACTCAATGTTGATGAGTTTTGGTTTTTTTTTTTTTCGAAAAAAGTGTTTTGTTTTTTTTTTTTTCGCTTCACATTTTTTGGTGATTTTTTTTTGAAAACTTTGTGCAGGCCTAGCTATATTTTTGAAAACAATATTTGCATCCCGTTTTTTTTGTTTGATTTTTTGCTTGTTATGATCCAAAAAAGTAAATATGTATGTAGTTCAGTAAAAAAAATATCAATAAAGCTAAAAGTAACCAATGGTGTAATAAGAAAAGGATGTATTCTCAATTTGTTTTCTTGGCCAAAAATGATTTTTTTTCGATTTCGTAGACATTTTTAAAAAGTTGAAGGTTAGGGTTTGGTTGCTCCAATGGCCCATCTAAAGAAGTTTTGAAAAATCATCATTGGAAACTCTATTGGCCCTTCAAAAAGTCAAGTCAAGGAAACCGCGTTTTGTCGTTTGCTTGATGGTCCTTGGAAAAATCTTCTTAAGAATTGTTACATTTTTACACAATGATCAGCATAAAATTATATGACTATTTCGGTCCTTCTGTGGAAATTACCCTAGCTTCCGAACGAAATGAAGTAGGTTCATAAAATTTTACTCAAATGTACAGGTTGAGATGAAAAAACTTCAACCAACTTCAGACTGCTGTCATTCCTAAGCCACCCGTTCCACAGCTGTTAAAATTATTCCAGTGACAGCTCATTATATTGTTTACAAGCAGACACAAGCATTTTGGTGAGAATTTTCCAGAAAAAAAGTTATTCGTGATGGAATTCAAGTGTGATAGTGTGATTTCTTTATATTTGGTTGAAAAAACCACAAGTGGCTATCGTTAGAGCACTTCAGCATCTAAATGTGAATAAATCTTTTGAACCTCGTACCATCGCACGTTACCGGGATACTGGTAGCGTAGCTCGACGTTAAGGAAGTGGACCGAAGAAGAAAACAGCAACATCAGCAGAAATGGTTCGAAAAGTAAAGAAGCGACTTGATCGAAACCCCCGTCGCAGTGGCCGAAAAATGGCTCGTGAGCTGAACATATCGTAATATTTCATTCGGCAAATATCGGAAAATGAGTTCGTGGCGAAGTCATTGAAATTCCAAAAAGTGCAAGAACTTACACCGCAACAAAAGACTCAAAAGAGCTAAAGAGTTGCTTGGGCGAAAGTGGCGAACTGCCGAATTTGGTTTTCTTCGATGAGAAAACATTCGTTGTCCAGCAGTTTGTAAACAAACAAAGCCAAAGAGGTCAGCTGAAAATTTGCACCTTCGGTTGGCCACCAGAACTTAAGCGCTGACCTTAGTGGGCCGCCATAACAGCCGATGGTCGCTCTCCGCTCGTATTAATCGACCGTGGCATCAGAATAAATACCGAATATTATTGCGAAAATATTCTGGAGGGTGTATTAAAGCCTTGGACACGCGAACATTGTGGCCACAGACTTCGGACATTCGAACACGACTCAACACCATCATACTCAGCACGCGCACCCCAAGGAATGGTGGTTACAAAATGAGGTTCCTCGGTTCACTCCCTGCGCAAAATGGCCACCCAAATCTCCGGATACCAATCCGTTAGATTATTGTACCTGGAGTATTTTGGAGAGCAAGGTTGGCACTAAAAAATACCAAAGTGGCGATCACCTCAAGCAAGCGCTTCGCCGGGAATGGGTCCAAATACCGCAGAACAACATTAGGGCAGCGTGTGAAGGTTTCATTGGCCTTCGAAGACCATAATGTCTGCAGGACATTTGGTATAGCCCCCATATAACGGTACCTCCCGATATTCGGTATTGGAAGTTCGTATAGGATATTACAGCCTATGACAGAAAATTGTTGGTGCCGGTCCACGTCTTCGTATAGCCCACATATAACGATACCTCCCGATATTCGGTATTTTGATGATTTTAGCGACATTATTTACCGGAATTGTTCCAAATTTGGTATTTGAAGTTCGTAATGAATATTACAGCCTATGACAAAAAATACTTATGCAGCACCCAGTCTTTGTATACCTTCCATATAAAGTTTTTCATTTGAACGGTATTTTTCGTCGGATTTTTTTTAATTCTCATGGTCTGGTTATGTCTTTGTATGCCATCAATATGACCGAAGTGGCTGCCCATTCATTACATCCGCCTTGAAAGTCAAACGTAGCTATCCAAGTTATTTGAAATTCTTTGGAAGTTACTTCATTAGTCGGGCCGAAACGGAAAATTCCAAAATTCATGATCAAACCAGAGAGACCCATTGGCTATCCATTCATGGTTATTTTATTACCCATGATTTTGATTTTGTTGAGAATGAAAAAGAGAACCCCCATGTCTCGCTGTTTGCGGGCCATTCAATGTCTGTTGGGAGCTTCTTCAGGTGGCAGTCATAAGGGTCATCATCACAATAACCAACATAATGCTCAGGAAAAGGCAAATCCAACGACGACAGATGGAAATTCTGCCCCTGCCCCGGGAACCATTGTAAGCAACGTTCTGAAATACACCTCGCTACTGCGGGACACATTCTCCCATGAGAATAACGATGTGAAGAGTGAATGGTGGTCCAGTGTCTGGAAATATCTGTACATTGGCTTTTGAGTGAAGACACCTTGGCTGATAATCTTTTGGAAACCGTAAAGGCGTTGCCTAAACCAAGTGGTCATTTGCCCAAGACTTTGTGTACCATTCTCAAAGCTAACTCCCTAATGGTCTTTGATAAAAATTCTTTAAAAATCCACGTTTTGTGGTTGTGATGGCCTTTGAAAAGATCCTTTAAAAAATCCACGTTTTGTGCCTCTAATGGCCTTTGAAAAAATTCTTTAAAAAATCCACGTTTTGTGGCTCTGATGGCCTTTGAAAACTGTTGGGGCAACCCACATTAACAATATGGCATCTCATGTTGCAACATCCTATACGGCAACGCCCATATAATAGGACGCCGTGCTACCGCCATTTTAGCTTGCTCAGTCTTGTTTTGTCTGTCACTCGAGTCTGACTCACTATATTGTAACTTCTTCATTCTTTTTAAATTAGTAGCTGTGAACGCTCATCATCCAATAAATCTATACACCTTTAGTATTAACAAACATTGGCTTTTATTTCAACTATAAAAGTACAACAAAAGTGGCGACGAGGATAGTGGAAATTGATCAATAATTGCACACACAACAATCCGCAAAAATGTCTCAAGACATAATTCTACAATTGTTAACAGAGCAACAAAAAGCAATGTCGCAACAAACGCAACTGCTAAAGCATATGGCTGATCTTCTTCAAGCACAAGGAGCACCAAATTCACCACAAACATCAAATTCATCCAAAGCAGCACTAATGGAATCACTAGCACAGTCAATGACAGCATTCGTATACGAGCCAGAGAGCGGTCTGATATTTCAAGCGTGGTACAACAGGTTTGTGCATGTTTTCGAAAAAGAAGCAAGCTCACTCGAAGAACATGACAAAGTGGCCTTGTTATGGAGAAAAATGTCGAACCAAGTACATGAAAGATTTGCCAACTACGTATTACCAGCAAAACCTGAAGACATGACTCTAAAGGATACAGTAGAGAAACTCAAGAAACTCTTTGGTAAAACAGAAACACAAGTCTCACAAAGATACAAATGCCTTCAGCTAGCAAAAGGCGACAGCGAAGATTTCAGAGAATACGCAAGCAGAGTAAACCTACAATGCGAACTATTCAAAATGAAAGAACTGAAAATCGACCAATTCAAATGTCTCATTTTCGTCTTAGGACTCAAGTCAGCAAAGGACAACGACATAAGACTTCGCTTACTAAAGGTACTGGATGATGAAAACACTACAATGAACCTAGATCAACTAGTAGACGAAACACAACGAATTCTAGATCTCAAATCGGACAACATTCTCATTGAACATCAATCAAAAATCGTCTGTTCACTCAACAAGCACGCAAAAGACTTTAAGAAGCACAAAACACCCAATTCACCCTGTTGGTATTGCGGAGACCTTCACTACGTCAAATTTTGTCCTTTCCAGAAACATAAATGCACAACATGCAATCAAGTGGGTCATAAAAATAACTTTTGCAACATCGCTAAGACTGGTAAGAATTTCAAATCATCGTCTGAAAACAACCAGAACGAATTCAAGAAATACAGCAATTCAAGGAAATCATTCAAAACTAAGGCAGTTTTCAAAACACACAACATTAATTTCCGCGACTTAAGGAAATACACAACTGTCCTAATCAACAACAATCCTGTAAAACTTCAAATTGATACTGCATCAGACATATCAATCGTATCTATCAACACATGGAAAGCTATAGGTAAGCCTGAAGCCTACGAAACTTTTGACAACGCTAGCGACGCAAACGCAAATTCAATCAAGCTCCTAGCAGAATTTCAATGTGACGTCACAATCGACAAAACATCAAAAACATTAAAATGTTATATAACAGATATAGAAAAACTCAATATCATGGGAATCGATTGGATTCAAGCATTCAATCTATGGCAGAAACCAATAACCTCATGGTGTCATCAAATAAACTTCGTTGATGAAATAGCAGAATTGAAAACGAATTATCAATCAGTTTTTGATAACAGTACCCCAGGTCTGTGCAAAACAAAAGTCAACAATCACGAAAAACCAGCAGATGACTTTATAGTGGCTTCAATATCATTCGAAGAAGACATACGTAACGAGATAAATGAAACTATGTCAGTTCTCCCAGTATCATTTAAAATGATCGTCGATGCAACAACAAAAGACACGGATTTACAAATGGTCCTCAAATACATTCAAACAGAATGGCCAGAAAGCAAGAAAAATATTAACCCATCAATTATTCAATTTTTCAACCGCAAGGAAAATCTTTCAACCTTCGATGGTTGTATTCTCTTCAATAATCGTATAGTAATTCCTAAATCATATCAGAGACAAATCTTACAACAACTTCACAGAGGACACTTATCAGCAGAACGCAGCAAAGCCATCGCCAGAAGTTATGTTTATTGGCCAAACATCGACAAACAAATTGAAGACTTTGTTCGGAAATGCAAAAATTGTCAACATGCGGCAAAAAGTCCAGTAAAAACAAATCTTTGCCCATGGCCATTAACTTCACACCCTCTTGAAAGGATACATATAGACTATGCTGGTCCAGAAAAAGGTAAATATTATCTTCTTATCATCGACTCGTATTCAAAATACCCTGTTATATACGAGACAACAACGACAACCACATATGCAACATTAAAAATGTTAAACGAATATTGTGCACTCTTCGGAAATCCTGAACAATTGGTCTCGGACAACGGAACACAGTTCTGTTCAGAACAATTTGAGAAGTGGTGCAGCAAAAAAGGCATTAAACACACAAGGACTGTTCGTTTTCATCCAAGTTCAAATGGACAAGCCGAGCCTTTCGTTGATACACTTAAACGTGCATTAAAAAAACTAGAAGGGGAAGAAACGCCTACGGAATCTCTCCAAACCTTCCTGGAAGTCTACAGATCCACACCAAATCCAAATGCACCAGAAGGTAAGTCTCCAGCAGAATCCTTCATCGGAAGAAAAATGAGAACGGTCTTCGACGTTCTAAGGAAGCAACAATCGCCTGAGTATAACGTCAATCACAAAATGGAACAGCAGTACAATACCAAACACGGTACCAAAAACAGAGAGTTTAGCAACGGAGAATTGGTCTATGCCAGAAACTTCAAAGGAAACAAAAGTTACTGGACAACAGGCGAAATAGTCGAGCGTAAAGGGAAAGTCATTTACAACACTCTAATCGACGTTGGGGACAGGAAAATTCTAGTACGAGCTCATACTGATCAACTTCGACATAGAGAATCGGTAGAGTCAAGCAGTCAAGAACGACAAAAACTACCATTAGACGTACTACTTGAAGAATTCGAAATCGCTTTGCCTAACCATCAAGAACATTTTGCAACTCCAACAGGTTCACCAAACTGGACACCTCAAAGAATAACAAGTCGCAGACAACCAGTCGAACCTATTTCAAGATCACCTTCTCATCTTAAGGAGGGAGATGTTGGGGCAACCCACATTAACAATATGGCATCTCATGTTGCAACATCCTATACGGCAACGCCCATATAATAGGACGCCGTGCTACCGCCATTTTAGCTTGCTCAGTCTTGTTTTGTCTGTCACTCGAGTCTGACTCACTATATTGTAACTTCTTCATTCTTTTTAAATTAGTAGCTGTGAACGCTCATCATCCAATAAATCTATACACCTTTAGTATTAACAAACATTGGCTTTTATTTCAACCATAAAAGCACAACAAAAACATTCTTTAAAAAATCCACGTTTTGTGGCTCTGATGGCCTTTGAAAAGATTCTTTAAAAAATCCACGTTTTGTGGCTCTGATGGCCTTTGAAAAGATTCTTTAAAAAATCCACGTTTTGTGGCACTGATGGCCTTTGAAAAGATTCTTTAAAAAATCCACGTTTTGTGGCTCATATGGCCTTTGAAAAGATTCTTTAAAAAATCCACGTTTTGTGGCTCTGATGGCCTTTGAAAAGATTCTTTAAAAAATCCACGTTTTGTGGCTCTGATGACCTTTGAAAAGATTCTTTAAAAAATCCACGTTTTGTGGCTCTGATGGCCTTTGAAAAGAATCTTTAAAAAATCCACGTTTTGTGGCACTGATGCCCTTTGAAAAGATTCTTTAAAAAATCCACGTTTTGTGGCTCTGATGACCTTGAAAATATTCTTTAAAAAATCCACGTTTTGTGGCTCTGATGGCCCTTGAAAAGATTCTTTAAAAAATCCAAATTTTGCGGGTCTGATGGCCTTTGAAAATATTCTTTAGAAAATCCAAGTTTTTTCGTAATTTTAATTGCCCTTTCAAAAATGTATTATAAAAATATCCACGTTATATAGCTTTTGATGGTGCCTCAACAGGTCCTTAAAGGATTCATCATTTGTACATCTGATGTTACTCCAACAAGTATTATTAACAAATCTCGATTGGATCTCCGATTTACTTGAAAAATCCAAGCTTAACTCTGTCCTAGTCCTTCTTGAAAATATCTCCATTTGATGAAAATTTATTCTTAATTTCTTTTATACAATGTTTATTTGAATAATTTAATGTTAAATAATCTATAAGCATTATACAATAATTTATACCGTTCACACATACACACAGTATGTGTTAGGAGCGATTTGTTGTGACCATAACGCCTGGAGTTTTTGAGTAAAAACTAAATTGCTATTGCTTTTACGGTTGATATTCTATTAGAAGACATTTCTACAAATGGGACAGGTTGACTTCGAACTGGTTGTAAACCATTTATACTGAAAAGAAATGAAAAAAAAAAAACATATTAAAAAGGATATTAATCTGGAAACACAAATCTTGGCTTACCAAACATGGCCCATGGAATTTCTTTTTACATGTTTTACATGTCAGTTTGGGTAATTGGCAAGTATCTTGATGTATGACCGTATAACAGACATAACATTCTTCAACACCTTCGAATTTCTTGTCCAAGTTGTTCTTCCACAGGGCCAGGCCATCAAATATGGTGCCGTTCTAAAGAGGGATATCAGATTATTTATTTTGTTTGTAAAAAACGAACGAAATATAACTACCTGATGCGTCAAAAATATGGTCAACTGCATGGCCACATTGCGCGACGAAGCCCTTCCACCGATTTGTTTGTTACAATCCACTTTGACCGAACCCAGCGGATAATTTGAGGCCAATGTTATAACCAACTCCATGCGAGCCTCATCTATGGAATACACAGCCAAAACTTCTCGTGTCGATATGTGTACGGTAACCTGCATATTTTCATGTTTATCCTTTTTCCCAGCAATGGCCATAAGTTCCTCTTGACAGATGATGGGCGACACAAAATTCGTGGTCAGCGTATCGACAAAGGTCTTTTGTCGCGAGGGACTGGTATTCCACCATTTGCGTACAACAGCGGGTAGTTTGCTCAAAACATCCGTATACAGATGGCAGGTATATTTCTCCAAGGAGAGGCTGTTATCTGAAAGGGTGAAAAAAAAAAATCGATATGGGGAATTAAAAGAGATTGGGATATTTATAGAATGTTTTAAATAGGGCATCAGAGCTCAAAATAGAGGATTCTTAATTTTTTTTAAATCTTTCATAGAGTAGATGGTTTCTGGAAACGTCTATAATGGAGTAAATGGTCCCTGGGACAGTCTACCTTAAAGTAGATGGTCCCTGGAACCGTCTACCTTAAAGTAGATGGTCCCTGGGACCGTCTACCTTAAAGTAGATGGTCCCTGGGGCCGTCTACCTTAAAGTAGATGGTCTCTGGAGCCGTCTACCATAGAGTAGATGGTCTCTGGGACCGTCTACCATAGAGTAGATGGTCTCTGGGACCGTCTGCCATAGAGTAGATGGTCTCTGGGACCGTCTGCCATAGAGTAGATGGTCTCTGGGACCGTCTGCCATAGAGTACATGGTCCCTGGGACCGTTTACCATTGAGTAGATGGTCCCTGATCCTGTCTACCATAGAGTAGATGGTCCCTGATCCTGTCTACCATAGAGTAGAAGGTCCCTGGTCCCGTCTACCATAGAGTAGATGGTCCCTGGGACTGTCTACCATAGAGTAGAAAGTTCCTGGTTCCGTCTACCATAGAGTAGAAGGTTCCTGGTTCCGTCTACCATAGAGTAGAAGGTCTCTGGTGCCGTCTACCATGGAGTAGATGGTCCCTGGTGCCGTCCACCATAGAGTAGATGGTCCCTGGGACCGTCCACCATATAGTAGGTGGTCCCTGGGACCTTCTACAATAGAGTAGATGGTCTCTGGGATCGTCTACCATAGAGTAGATGGTCTCTGGAGCCGTCTACCATAGAGTAGATGGTCTCTGGGACCGTCTACCATAGAGTAGATGGTCTCTGGGACCGTCTACCATAGAGTAGATGGTCTCTGGGACCGTCTACCATAGAGTAGATGGTCTCTGGGACCGTCTACCATAGAGTAGATGGTCTCTGGGACCATCTATCATAGAGTAGATTGTCCCTGGGAACATCTATCATAAAGTAGATGGTCCCTGGGAACGTCTATCACAGAGCCAATGGTCCCTGGGACCGTCTACCATAGAGCCGATAGTTCCTGGGACCGCCTGCCGTAGAGTAAATGGTCCCTGGGACCACCTACCATAGAGTATATGGTCCCTGGGACCACCTACGAAAGCGTAGATGGTCCCTGAGACCGTCTACCATAGAGTAGATGGTCCCTGGGACCAACCAGTATCTATCTTTAACTTGTGATCTTTTTCATAATTGAAATTTATACCTCGAGTTTTTAAAAATAGTAGTCACTGCCTAAAAATTATTTTTTTTATTTGAAATTCAAGTCGGATAAAAAATTCCAACATTTCCCCAATCCGTAATGGCTATAAATTTCGAAGAATTACCCCATGAAATTGATGTATCGGCGGCAAACCCTGTGAGGACAACACGCACCGTCCTCGAAGAAATCAATGCCCGCCAACATTTATTGCTGGAACGCTCGGTAAAATGTAAAAACATTCCTCCCTTCTATGAAAAACCGAAAAAGCAGCCGCCACGTTATACCTACAAATATTTTTGTGTTTGTCCCCGCTATAATCCCCAATACCCCTGCCAACATAGTGGCAATGTCGTTGTGGATCGTGATGTTCTTACGCCACGCGAACACATTGTCTATTTGTCTACACCGCGGGCAAATCATGCAGCACCACGCCGAATGCCAAGATTCTATCAAAAGAAATTCATTTTGCCAAATTGTACGGCTCGAATAAATAGATTAGCTTCGCCGGATTTGAAACGTGTCTCGGAGACATTTGCCAATTTTAGGCATATCCTATCGAAACGACATCGTTCCGCATTGAAGGAACATCTACAACAAAAGCCCAAGGTGGAGTATACGAGCATTGCGACAGCTTTGGAATGGATGGCCGAAGAGAGACGTCTGAAGAAGGTGGCAAAACGTATGGAACGTTTGCGTTGTCAAAAGATATCACGGCAAATTCTACGTAAACAGCGTACACAAATTAAGAAAATCATTTGTGTTCTCTTTGAGGAGATGCGGGAATTTCTGTTGAATGATCAGTTTATTATGGATGATGGTTCGCCATTGGTCGAGGTGATATTGGAAACATTGAGAGAATTTACAGGTAAGGGGAAGGGTTCTTAAAAAAATGGTCCCACAAAAATTCGGCCGAGTCGAACTTTAAATACCCTCCAGGAATTAAAAAAAAAAAAACAAAGCAAAATCCGTTAAAAATTCTATTAAAATCTTAAAAAGACCCGAATGTAGCCGTTATATTAGGGTCTATACGACAACGTGGACCTGCATAGGCATTTTTGTCATAAGCCGTTACAATATTCAAATGCGAAACTTGAAAAAAAATCTGTAAATACTGTCGCTAAAATCATCAGAATGCCGAATATCAGCAGGTGCCGTTATATGGAAGCTATACGAAGACGTAGACATGCACAGCGAATTTTTAGCAATAGGTTGTAGTATCCATTACGAACACCAAATACCAAATTTGAAACAATTCAGGTGAATAATGTCGCTAAAATCATCAAAAAACCGAATATCTGGAGGTAGCTCTATACGAAGACGTGGACCTGCACAGACAATTTTCTGTCGTAGGCTGTGGTATCCATTACGAACTTCAAATACCAAATTTCAAAACAATTCCGTTGAATAATCGCGCTAAAATCATCAAAATACCGAATATGGGGAGTTACCGTTACATGGCGGCTATACGAAGACGTAGACCTGCACGGACAATTTTCTGTCATAGGCTGTAGTATCCATTACGAACTTCAAATACCAAATTTAAAACACTTCAAGTGAATAATGTCGCTTAAATCCCCAAAATACCGAATATCGGCAGGTACCATTATATGGGGAGTATGCCAGAACGTGGACCTACATGGCCCATTTTCAATACGAAAAGTCCTGCAGACATAATATACATTTGAGTAAAATTTTATCAACCTACTTCAGTTCGTTCGGAAACTAGAGTGATTTTCACAGACGGACCCACATCGCTAGGTTAGGTTAAAAGATGCGCGGTTGTATAATCAACCACTCCACTCGGAGACCTATTGGTCCATTGTGTTCATTCTAATTTAAGAAGATAGAGTAGAATATAGAGAAGAGAAGGAAATGAATAGCGGATATTGAAGAATCGAGAATCTGAATAAAGAGTAGAGAAGTTAGTAGGTTTGTATCCACGGTGTAATCGTCCTTAGCCATTTTAGTCTTCTGACTAACTGAAAAATGACTGCTGGCTCGATGTCGGAGAGGGAGGACAAGTCTGGCGGAATTTTCTTAGCCAGTAGCCTCTGTCGCACTCCTATAAGATTTGGACAGTGGCAGAGTAAGTGATCCACCGTGTCAGTTTCTTCCTCGTCCTGACAGAACCTGCAGTATTCAGTGTCGTTCTTTTGTTGTCTTTTTGTTGCAGTGGCCTAATTAAAGGCCCATCACAAACTTTAATCCAGCTTCGCCATGGATATGAGTGACCTTGATCTCCTTTCGGAGTTCACCGGCCAAATCTTTTTGGAGGCATTACATCCCCTTCCAGTTAGCCAGTTCTGTTGCAAGTTCCCAAGATAATGATTATGTAGTACTTCGAAGAAGTGACATAATGGTGGCTTCACACAGCTCTCAATCTCTAGATCTACTGATTCAGATCCGCGTCTAGCCAATTTATCGGCAGATTCATTGCCAGATATGTTGCAGTGTCCAGGCACCCAATAGAGTTTGACAAACGATTTAACCTTTTCCAGAGCATTCCTGCATTCCAGAACTGCTATAGATTTGATTGAATTTAAAGCCTTTAGGGCCGCTTGACTAACGACATACATAGTCACCGGTCCGTCCAGTTCATTGATTCTTTTTGCCAGCAGTTCTATGGCCTTTCTGACAACAAAGATTTCTGCCTGAAAAACGCTACAGTCGTTGTTTAGTTAGAAGGATCGTTGAGTACGTAGACTTTCACAGTAGACTCCAGCTGCCGTTCCACTTTCCATCTTTGACCCAGCAGTTCTATGGCCTTTCTGACAACAAAGATTTCTGCCTGAAAAACGCTACAGTCGTTGTTTAGTTAGAAGGATCGTTCAGTACGTAGACTTTCACAGTAGACTCCAGCTGCCGTTCCACTTTCCATCGTTGACCCATCAGTATAGACAGCTATACAGAGTGTCGCGGGTCCAGATGTCTCTGTTAGGTATATGGATATCAAGTAATTCAAAGCTCTGCCTAGGTGATATATAATCGCTAGCTATAGCCTGATTTCCTATACTTTCCACATACTTGAGAATGAGGGAGTGTCCAAAGGTGTGACTCCGCCATTGTCTTAGCTCATTGAGTCGCGGGGCACACCTAGCAGCTTGTTACTCTACAAATAAACCTTACGGTTTTATATTGAGTAGGTTGTCTAGTGCGAATTGGGATGTGCTCCTAAACGCGCCTGTAATTAGTAGCGATGCTACTCTTTGGACTTTATCAATGCTTTTACTAAAGGCGGTTTTCCCTAAGGAGTGCCACCAAATAAGCCCCCCATAGGTTAGTCCCCAGCTTTCCCCCATGGAGTTTTTGCAGGAATAAAGTTAATTAAGTCCCTCTTTGCTCGCTCCTCGATGTTCTTCTTCCAGCTTTCTTAGTTTCTGGTCTAGGATGGTACCGAGATATTTGGCTTCCGAAGAAAGGCTTAGCATAACACCATCAAGTATTGGTAGCGAAAAGTCTGGGATTTTCCGCTACCTTGTGAAGAGTACGAGTTCAGTTTTTGATGGGTTCACGCCAAGTCCATTGCAGCGTGCTCATCTGAAGAGTCTAACTAAAGCTCCCTGCATAAGATCTGAAACGATTTGCGGGAATTTCCCAGCAATCAGCAAGACCACATCCTCGGCGTAAACCACGTCCTTTGTTCCGCCGTGTTCCAGTTCGATTAGAATGCCGTTTATCGCTTAAAGCCAGAGTAGATATCGTTAAATATACTTTGTGGGATCTAAAATGTATATTTCGAGGCGAGGCGGAATGACAAACTTAATATTCCCTCCATACTGTGGCGGAGGATATAAAAAGTCTCATTTGATAGCTTTAATGTGCCTTCAAAAAATTTTAGAAAATATGTTTCTTTGGCTCTAAAGCGGCTTGGCATCATGACATGGCAGATTTGGTGACTTATGATAAAGGGATGTTACAGCTTAGTTTATAGCCTTTAAAAGATTTTTTCTAATACATATTTTGTAGCCTGGTGTTTCTTCACAAGATATTCTTTAAAAATCCAGATTTTGTAGCACCGATGGCTCTGCAAAATTTTTCTTTAAAAATCTACGTCCCATATATCCGATGGCTTCAGAAAAAAAAATAAAATTACATTTTGGAACTTAAAAAAATACAGAAAATATTCTAAAAGAAACAAGTTTTGTAGCTCTGATGGGCTTTCAAAAGAAATATTAAAAAAACTGATTTCGTGGGTCTGAAGGGTCTTAAAATTATTAAAATACTAATTTTGTAGCTCTATTGGTTTTAAAAATATTGATAAAAATCCATTTTTTGTACCTCTGATGGTCCATCAAAAAATATCCTTGAAGAAAATCCCAGTTTCACAAATTTGACTATTCTTAAAAAATCTTGGAGAATTGACTTTGTCTCCTAGCGTTTTTCAGGCAGAAATCCTGGCGGTCAAAAAGGCCATAGACCTGCTAGTCACGAGGAACATAGAGGTCGGAAGTCCGGTGACTATATATGTCGATAGTCAGGCGGCACTGAAAGCACTAAATTCCTTTACTATCAAGTCTAGGGCTGTTTTAAGCTGCAGGGAAGCCTTGGAACACTCTAGGTTGTCAATCAAGCTTTGTTGGGTTCCCGGCCATTACAATATCACAGGTAACGAAACTGCAGATGAATTGGCCAGGCTAGGATCCGAATCAACTACAATAGAAATAGATAATTCGGTCAAACCACCACTGTGCCACTTCCTACAGATCGTTCGCAAACACTACCAGGAAAAGACACAACAAAAATGGCTGGATGAAACGGGATGTACCATCTCCAAAAGAATCTGGCCTGTGCTCTCAGAGAAGAGAACAAGATCGCTGATGTCATTGTCTAAACCAGATTTAAAACTTGTGGTGGGCATCATCACAGGTCACTGTAAGGTGAGGGCTATGACCTCAAAATGGGACAGCAATGATATTGATTACTGCAGGATCTGTCAAGATGAAGAAGAAATTGAGACAATCGAACACTTGCTCTGCCACTGCCCAGCGCTCATTAACGTGAGACATAAACTAGTGGGAGAACTAGTGTCACGTGATTTGTCCTCTTTTTCTACCACGGACCCTGCAGTGATCCTTCAATTAGCCAGAAGGTTCAAGTGGCTAAAGACGACACGGCAAACTCAGCCGTAGACTACGTACTATCTATTTCCTACTGTCAATTCTTATACTTTCTCTATCTTTCGCTCTAACTCTTTCCTAGGATGAACACAATGGACCTATAGGTCTCCGAGTGGAGCAGTTGCTAAATGCAGCTGCGCGTCCTTTAACCTAACCTAACCTTGTCTCCTATCTCTGATGACCTATATATAAAATGAGAAACGTTTTATAGCTCTGAAGAATCTTAAAAATATTCTTAAAAAAACCCACGTTCATCTTGCGGCTTGAAGGCCTTTAGAAATCTCTCTACACTGTACTTCTTAATGCCTTAAATACATTTTCAACATAGAAGCTCTCGTAACTCTTTCCTAAAATTTCTTTCCAGATAGGGAATTCTTTGTGACGAATAATTTGAAAGAATATCAAAAGATTTTATCCCTCAATTTGGCCGTGTGGATAAATAAGTTCATATCGAATTTGAATATACACATTGCTGAAAGTCCCCAACAACAATATGGACAACAGCAGCAGCAGCAAATGGCACCTCCAATGTCCGATGGAATTCTTCACGAAATGCCACAATCTTTTCTACCCCTTGCTGATTATATTCCCTATACCAGTAGCTCGGAAACTAATTCCATAGATCAAAGGCAAGCATGCTCCAAGATAAAGCAACAAACCAATAAGACCAAATGATTTTGGGCCAAAAGAAACACCATAGAGTTGGGCATAATGTTTGTCAGCACCAACTTACCCTTGATTTGTGACCACGTCAGACCCTTGAAAATATCATTGTTTAACTGTTTGGTACTGTGATTTTTCAAAATTTCCACTGGCATACAACGAAACAGGAAGTGTAATAAATTCTGGAAAGGATATCAAGTTGTTAGCTCTTTTTTAATATTAGAATATTTTCCAAAATCCCACCTCTTCATATTTGTTTTCATGTAAGAACGTTGTATAAACTGAACGTAAAGCCACGGGAGATTTGGCACAGGCATAGATGATGCAATCCCACAGCATAAGATATGAGAAGGCCTCATGACGATCCACCGGCTGCATTTCAGAAATTTCGGTAAGTTTGAAACTGAAACAAAACGAAACGAAAAGAAGAACATGAAAGGCTTTCCGAGAATTACATATGAAGCTCCTCCTCCTCCTCCATACCTAAATTCTTGTAAATATTTCCTTATGGGTCCATCATAACGTCCTATATAGTCCTCAAAACGATTAAGGAAATGCCATTTAATTTCCTGATGTTCATCCTTATCGATTTGTTCCGATTTAATGTCATACATTTCAATATCATCAGCCACAAAGTAGGGTGTTAGATTGCGCATCATATGCATGCTTAGGGTGCGTAGGGAATGGACAGGACTTGAGAGATTTTTTAGCAAAAAATTACAAACATGATCCAATGTCATTTGGCTGGAAGATTTACAGAACTGAAAGCAAATTTATTAATACAAGAAAAATCAAAAAAGAATTTAATTTGATTACCGTGTAGATAACTCCATAGTCAAGATATTCCATGGTGGCCGTTAATTCCACAAGAAATACCTGCCAGCAATCACTAAAACTGTCCTTGATATCTGAAATGGAAACACAAAATAAAATACTTCTAAAAATATTCGATAGTTTCATTTTTTCGAGTTAAGCTATTATTGACCCAGGGAGATGGCATTGAAAATAGCAACCCAGGGAAGGTTCGATTCCACAAAAAGTTTCCCCAACATTACCTCGATATTGACATATTTTGTAGAATGTTTTGAATATGGTCAAATAAACATCTCGCGAGAATACATTCAACCATTCATCATAGACATTTTTAAGAAGTTCTGTGGAACTTTTTTGCTTCTCTTCGTCGAAAAATTTCGTGAGAGCAGCAAACAATTTGAAGACTTGCAAAGTGAAATATAAGCTCTGTAAAAAAATGATAAGGAGTTACTTTCTATCAAAATGTTGTTAATTTGTATTACCTTTTGATCGGCATTTTCCAAGGCATAGTCCAGAGATTTGGTAACACTTAATATCCAATGGCCCAACCCAATGCGTATGACATCCCAATTTTTAATAGTCAACTGATGGGGTATACACTCGAGGGCACACGACAGCAATTTGATGTATTCCACGGCATTGAGAATGGTGGGTATTTCTTGTTTGAAAATTTCGCTACATAAAAAGACATAGAAAACAAAATAAGAAAAAAAAATTAATATTGAAAAATCCAAATTTGCGAAGGTTAGAAATCCCATTTAAAATCGCAAAATTTTTGGTGAGATGAAAAAACTGCAACCAACTTCAGACTGTTGTCATTTCTAAGCCACTCGTCCGACAGCTGTTAAAATTATTCCACATACAGCTCATTATATTCTTTACAAGCGTACAAAAGCATTTTGGTGAGAATTTTCCAGAAAAAAGTTATTCGTGATGGAATTCAGGCGTGATAGTGTGATTTCTTTATATTTGGCTGGAAAACCACAAGTGGTTATCGTTAGAGCACTCCAGCATTTAAATGTGAATAAATTTTTTTGTCTCGTACCATCGCTCGTTACCGTGATACTGGTAGCGTAGCCCGCCGTCAAGGAAGTGGACCGAAGAAGAAAACAGCAACATAAGCAGAAATGGTTCGAAAAGAAAAAAAAAACGACCGCCTCGAAGTGGCCGAAAAATGGCTCGTGAACTGAACATATCGCAATATTACATTCGTCAAATATTTAAAAATTAGTTCGGGATAAAGCCATTGAAATTCCAAAAAGTGCAAGAACTTACACCGCAACAGAAAGAAAATAGACTCAAAAGAGCTAAAGAGTTGCTGCCCTTTGGCCGAAAGTGGTGAACTGCCGAATTTGGTTTTCTCCGATGAGAAAACATTCGTTGTCCAGCAGTTTGTAAACAAACAAAATGATCGGGTTTACTTGCCAAAGAGGTTGGCCACCAGAACTCAAGCGCCGACCATGGTTGTTGTTGTTGTAGCAGCTCATACATCTGGTTCTGCCTCTAAGTCCAGTCTCAAAAAGGATGCAACTTGTATGGGTTGTGTCCATAACGAGGCTGGAATTAGGTGAGTAGGCTTGGCTGGACACCGAAATAGGTGCAGCGTGTCATGTGGGCCTGTGCCACAAGCTGGGCAGATGTTCTGCACATCGCTGTTGATCCCGGTAGGAATTTAGGCGGCTACACCATTCGGATCGTAATTGAGACAAAACTACTCGGGTCTTTCAGGGCAGCCCTCGTTCTTCAGCCGCGACGGGAGGGGGATGGTCTCCTAGCACAGTATTCACTCTATATCCTTCAATGACTTCTGAGACCGCATTAGAGTTAATACTATTCAGTCCCGCTTAATAGACCTGTGGATCTAGAGGCTCTTTTACCTCTGCACTTCTCTCTCTAGATCATGAAGATATTTCCAAACGTGCCTGGGCGGAGGTTGCCTATCCACAAGATGGTGATTCGGATGGCTTTGTCTATAACACCCAAGCAGGTATTGCATTGGCAGCATTTTGTTATGCTGTCGCACCGGTAAGACATTCGCCTCCTCATGTAGGTGATCGACAGGTGTCATGAGGAGGCACCCTGTTGCGGTTCTAAGGGCGGCATTCTGGCAGGACCGGCCATGGTGATGGTGTGGGCCGCCATAACAGCCGATGGTCGCTCTCCGCTTTTATTAATCGACCGTGGCATCATTAGAATAACTGCTGAATATTTTCGAGAAAATATTCTGGAGGGTGGTATTAAAGCCTTGGGCAGGCAAACATTTTGGCCGCAGACCTTGGACATTCCAACAGGACTCAAGACCATGCACTCGCACTCAGCGCGTGCCACCCAAGAATGGTTACAAAATGAGGTTCCTCACTTCATTTTCAGCGCACAATGGCCACCAAAAACTCCGGATATCAATCCGTTGGACTATTGTGTCTGGAGTATTTTGGAAAGCAAGGTTGGTACTAAAAAATACCAAAGTGTCGATCACCTCAAGCAAACGCTTCGCCGGAAATGGGCCAAAATACCGCAGAGCAACATTCGGGCAGCGTGTGACGGTTTCATTGGCCGTTTGAAGGCCATAATTCGTGCCAAACGTGATCAATTCGAACAAATCTAAACCAATTCTAAAATTTGATGGTATTTCCGACATTTTTTGCTTTCGTTCAATAAAATTTAGACAAAAATTTAAAAATTATGACATTTGACTTTGTTGCAGTTTTTTTTTATCTCACCCGTATCTCACCCGCCATTTACCTTTGATAAAGTAACAAATCCTTCTGCGTGTGCAACTTATCCGAATGTTCTGTGATAAACTGCACGGTAACGGATATAATATTTTGATCGGATTTTTCATTATAGGCCAGGGAGAAATTATTCTCCAAAAGAGCACGAAAGACGCCAGCCTTTATCCAAATATCGTTGGGTTCACAACGCATTATGGGACATTGGAGATCTATGGTTTTGGCTTCCAATTTCGGTAGAAGATATTGTAAGGCTCCCATATAGGCTTTGAATGTTTTCTTTTGGGCAAAATATTCTTGCAGATCTTCGGCCAAGAGCAGTAGGCCACTTTCTTCAAACTGCGAATATTGTTGGATGTTCACCAGATAGGGAAGGGAACGATAATATGCCAAATTCTGCTCCTTGGCCGATTCTTCCATGAGTAATTCCTTTAGGGTTATACTTAATTCACCTGAATTTCGCAACAGGAATTGGACTTTTTCTGAAAATTCCAAACACAGTGATTCGATGTTTGTGTCCAGGGCATCAGCGCATTGATTTATCAAGGAGTCTCCGGCAGCTGCTATATTAATGTATTTCAGCAATTCCATTTGTAAATAATTTGACCATACTTTAAGTAGATTTTCATTAGGATCACAGTAATCTTCGGTTATTTCATCATCGTTTCCTTCGTTTTTATCCTGTTGTTGGGTGGATTCTTGGGGTTTACCACACACCAATTTACTGAGTATTGAAAAATTCAATAGAGACCGTTGCAGGGTGCCTTGCAACTTTGCCAATTTATTAACATGGCTGGTAAAGCCTGAGCTCGGCGTTGCCAATCCCTTTAGGGATTCTATGAAAAGGCAGACATTCAGCAGTTCATTTACTCCATTGGTGTCTTGTTTCAATATCGTCTGAAGAATATGATCAATTTTATTGTATCTTTCTTTTTCGTCGGATATATTCTCCGTGGAACATGTCACAAACTTGCCGGTAGCTTCTGCTATGGAATCGATGTTGGTGGGAGTAAGATTTGTTTTCTCCCCTTGCCTATCAATGATGAGCGCACATTTCTCTAGCAATTCGTTGTTCAAAATTATATCCTCACTTGATAGGGCATCCTGCCAGCATGTGGTAATTTCCCATAGAGTATCTTCAGATATGTAATCGCTTACAGATTTTTGTATGCTAAATGTAAAGAGGCGAAGAAACACCTCGTGCTTTACCTCCAGTGAGGCATTTTCTTTGGAGCACACCACCGGCATAATTTGGGCAATAAAACTGCCACAGGCATCAACATCTGTTTCTTGATCTGTATCTTCTTCGGCATTAGTTTCGTCTGGACCATCCAGTAGGGGTTTTGATAATGTCATTAGAATCTTATCCACAGTTTTGGGGGATATTAATATTTCTCCCGTATCAGTTTCAAAGAAACATTTATGCAAAAGATTAAATAGATCTTTGGAATTATTTTTCACCACATCCTCGGCTACTTTGCTAATGATATTTGTGATTTCCTCCTGGCAGAGTATTGTGCGTATTTCGGGCTCAACACAGAGTGGATGGGATAGCAAACGATTTAATACCAACGTTTGGGTCAGGTGATGGGAAATCTAAAAATAAAACAATTAATAAATTTGGAAAAATATATTCCAGATTTTGTCCCACCTTTA